ACCTGGAATCATAAGCTTCCAAAGGGTCGTGCAACATTGCAGCAAGCTTGCAGCGCCTCAATGCTTGTTGTGAAGCGATCCTGAAATCTCATGATGATCCTCGCAGACCACAACAACCCTTTGCCTCGACCAACAACAGACCGCAAGCTGCAATTCCTCAATGTCGATGAAGAATCACTGCGGCGCTGCTGCGGAGCTCCTATTGAGGGACAAGGCTTTCACAATGCGAGGTACTTCGAGATCATGTTCTTGTCCTTTGCCGCCTCTGTGGCCATGGTGTTGAGCCTGGCGCTGGCTTTGGTCTCCTCCGCGGCCTCAACACCATCTCCAGACCACCACGATCACCGCAACCAGCACCACCAAACCGACAACCGCAGAGCTACTGACCACCGCAGATAAGCTCTTGTGATGCTGGAACAGGTCTCAACAGCCTTGCTCTCGCTGACTTCGAGACTGGCCAGGCCGCTGGAAGCGCTCCCTTAACAGCGGACCTCTTGCGACAGCAGTACCCTCGCACGACGGGCGCGTCTAGACAGCAACACCATCGAGCAGCCTTTGCGCAACATGGCCTCCTTCCTCGCGAGCCGCACGACCCCCTGGAGCCTTGCCATCGAAGCGGAGGTGTCTGCTCGACGACTTTGTCGCATACCCGAAGGCATCCCCGCAGCGCCCGACAACTGTCTATACCGGCGGCGACGACAGGGTCACGCAATGAAGTGGCTTGACGGAGACCTTCAGGCAATTCGCAGAGATGAACGTGTGGGTATGAGGCGGCCACCTTTACCTCCCCTCGCGGGCTGCGCCTGGGAACATCCTGAGAGCAACGAGCGGGCATCAAGCGATGCAGGAACAGCGAGCTTGGGAACCATCTTCTCTGCTTCTGCGGTAGTGCTTGGAGACTCAGACGATTTTCCTTCTCCTCATATCGCAGCGCCTCTCCGAGCAAGAAACACCCGAAACCCGAGTCGCCAGTAGCGCCCCACCATCATGTCTGCACGGACAACGAAGCAGCGCCTTGAACAATGAATCATCAAAGACCTTGCAATACAATGGAGTTTCGCCTTTCGCAGCTCATCGAAGGGAGCCAGACTACACGACAGACCCTCGACCGATCGGCTCTGACGAAGCGACATGGCTACAACGACCACAATGTTGAGTCTTAACATTGAGACATAAACCGGTTGAGGAATACAGAGCGCTGAGATGGTCTCGAGGACATCGCCCATGAACGACTGGGACGAGGGTAGACGGCCAAGCCAAGCTCCCGAGGATACAGGCCATCTATCTGCTCTGACCTGGACGGAATACACAAGCGACGGCGACGGCGACGGCGGATGCTAAGCATGACTGGCGACGGACCGAATGATTCCGAGTACAAGATACCCTCAGCCCGCGGCGACACATCTCCACTTCGAGCTTGGGCAGCGTCGCGCTGCCTGCCTATGAACATCACCCAGGCGTACAAGGTTGAGCAAACCTGAGTGGACTCGACACAACCGGCTTCGATAAGAGGCAACACGATGGAGACTTCGCTGAAGTTTGTCGATGATGTTTGCTCTATTCTCCGGAGATGCGTTACAGCCGAACTTGGCGCAATTCCATACTGGGCTTGAAAATGGAGGCCGCTGTCGGTTGGCCTGTCTTGGAACATTTCGCTGTCGACCCCAACATCCCGTTGACGTTGATGACCCGTATTCATCCATCTCTTGCTTGACATGATATCTCTGGCGACAGATGAAAAGACATTACTTCACAATCATCTAACATCTATGACGAAGATTGTCAACTCCTGTGTGTCTCGGGGACCATCTCCTTGCATGGACGCACTAGACCTCGCAAGTACCCTCGCTGGCGCTTGAGAGTGGGAAGACCGTTGTCATGCATGGCTGTGGACCTTCATGACCGGGAAGGCACACATGCTTTATTGGCCATCTCGTCGACGACGAGATCCAGACACCAACTGTCATCGTCGGAAGGTTAAAAGGCCTATCATCGAGACCAAGAACGCGAACGATCCTCTCAGCTGATTAGTAGACGGGGCGATCCGACATTCCTGGATACCGGCGCTGAGAGAAATTTGCAACCTTGGCGGACGTGCCATGCTGCTGTTGTACATGGCCGGTCCGATCCGATCGACCAGAAGCCCGACACAACGCCAGACGTTGTTGCTAGCCTGGGCAGTCAAGCAGGTGGATGCTTGTTCTTGCAATGCCCGGGGTTGAAGACATCCTCCTGGTGTTCTTGCTGCTAGCCTCCTACTCTGACCTTGGTTCATCAACATCAAAACCCTGGGTCTACCGTAGCCCTCCGGAGGTATCTTGTTTGTCGTTATTCGCGGCAGTGCCGTTCGCGTGCGCTCTTGGCTGGCGGTCACAGCATTCGACCTCCGTTGCGGTACCAAGTAGAACAAGGGGACCTGTCGTATTGGGTGAGTGTCGATGCTCGATCCACTCAGTCTTGACGGCGGGCGCAGATCATAGATCGTACCGCCAGCTTCCCACTAAGGTACTGCGAGCTTCAGGTGTATCCCGGACTCCTTGTGGTAGTAATGGATGCCGTCTTTGCAAGGGGGTGGGAGTTGTCGCGGCGCATGCGGCAGGCCTGGCTGAAGACGCGGTACGTACATCGTGCTGAAGTCGCAAGTAAAAGCCGACCAGCGCTGAGTTTGCCCGCCTTGCCACCGTGTCGTGGTAAAGGTCAACCGTGATCCCAAGTGAGGGGTGTACGTCGGAAGTGGTCTTTTCGCCGTGTCGTCGGTCGTCTGCCCTGAAGGCAGACGCTCCGCTCGAGGGGCTGCGATTTGCCCGACCGTCGAGATCGATATCAGCGTCGTCATCTGCTGTCGATGCGGTGAAAATCCAGTCGCAAGCTGGCGTTGCGATCGATAGGCGGGGTGTGTAAGCTGTTCTGCTCGTCGTGGTAGCGGGGAGGTAGAGATGACGACGGTATCGCGGCTGCATGTCAGACTCACGAGGGCATTCTGGTCGCAAGTAAAGGAAAGCTGCCATCATGGGCGGTCGCCGGAAACTAGCTCTCTTGACCTTGATCGCTCTGGTGGTGTCGCTGGTGGTGTCATGGCTGCGGAGATGCCTTCGGAGCTCTGTCCGCCGCCGCCATCGATGTCGCGGCTTCCTGCTGGTGCTGCAAATGGACTGGGCAGTCTCTTCGATGTCCAGGTCGGCTTTCCAGGCCTCCTCTGCCTTGTATGATCGTCGTGGCGTTGGTGTGGAGAGTGTAGAGTCCTGTGTCTGCGGCGGGCATCCGAACGAAGCTGCGGCGGCCCAAGCAGGGGCGGGAAATTGCTACCTCGAGCATCAAATCGACGATGTGGCTAAGGCGTGTCAGCAGAGTGTCGACTGCTTGTAGACGATGCTGTCGTTGCCGTGAAAGCGGTGGTGTGGATGTCGTTGGTGGGGGAGAAGCTGCGGCGGCGATGAGGGAAGCCACGAAGCTGTCGTTTAGCGGCGCCGCGAACATCGATGCGAATGAGCGAGCACTGCAAGACAGCAGAACACACTGGCTGCATGCATAGCAGACGGCCGACGCGTGTCTCGTGAGAGCGCGATGAGCAAGACGGCGGCGGACGAGCGAGGAGGGAGCAGAGTCGCCCTTGCTCACCCCCGAGAAGGCCGTACTATGAGCACACGCTTGATGCATCTATGGTCATCAGCGGCCGAACGTGGGCACTTCGCTGGCTTGCATGCTGCTGCTGCTGCTATGGGCGAAAGAACTGCTTGCGTGCAGTCTCCGCGTCGCCGCAACACGTGGCAGCCTTGAATCTCCTCAGGAGGCGCGTGTGCATCTTCGGCGCGAGCTGCAACACCGCGACGAGCGATCTCAAGCCTCAAACAGATGGATATTAATGCGATGATGATGGAAATGCCATCTCTAAGGCATGCGACGACGTCGAAAATGCACTGACGTAAACCTCGCCCTTCCCCGTTGAGGCATGGCTTCCGACATGATTCGCGCGCCATTTCGAACTTCATCCCATCTTTCTTCCTCCATCCTCGTGGAATTCTATCAGCAGCAGCGGCACGACAAACCACCTCAGGGACTCAGCATCTTTTCTGAATTGCATCCTCTGGTCACCATGATTTTGCTCGTAAGGAGATTGCCACGCACGGTCCGCACACATGGGATTTTGACCTCCAGCCCACCAAGCCCTTCACCACAACAATGCCCTGGATACATAAGTCTACTATTTTCCAGTTACTTCGCCTTCGGGCATCTGGCATTTTGTAACGATACAGAGAAGCTTAGCATGGCCCCTGCACTAAGGATGACACGCTCAAAGCAAAGAGTAGAAACCATTTTTTTGCAGTTTTTTTAGGCTCAAGAGTTCGATACCAGCGACCGACCGTTACGATCGCCCGGCGTATTGCAAATTTCTCTTTTTGACAAGGTGGCGACGCAGGTGTATAGGGAGCGGTGCACTGCCGACTCCGTTTTTTGCCAAAGTCTGGACGATTCTCCAAGCACCTGAGGCCAACCCATTGGCATCGTAGAGCGGGCCACTTCTCGCTGATCTGGTACAGCTTGGATTCTACGATATAATATCGGCAGTCTTGCGTCAGAGCATATAGCAGTCTCACGTGCTTTATGCATGTACAAGAGGCTCAGTCCTGTGAGACTCAGGAGCTGAGGAGCTGACATGTGTCTTCGCACCCGGAGCCGACAGTCACAGTACGCGTCGTAGGTACTTGGAGAGACTAAGAAGACACTGGATCTACAATGCTGCTGCTACGTATGCGGCAAGCTGTCCCAGTCCTGTCGTCATGTTGTTGTTGCTGCCCGAGGATATATATGACGTGGTGGTCCCAGCGCGCACAAGGCCTTTGTTTGTATGCAATTTCTCGCCTTTCCCCAACGATAGCTTTGACCGCACACTCACATCCCCGCGCTCCCCAAAAAATCCAGATTGTACAGATCTGCCACCACATCTTCTCATCTTTTCATACCACACACAGCGTCTATCAGCAAGTCGCAAGTCATACACAATGTCACAAGCATCCTCCCTCCTTCCGCCCTGGGCAAGCCGCGAGTACCGGTTCCCGTCAGAGGGCGAGCGCGATCACTTCGCTTCGCAGTATGGAGAGTTCATCATCAAGATGCTGAAGAGCGAAAACTGGGACGAGTTTGACAGCAGGGACGCGGTCGTCCGCATGGCTAAAGCGTACATCAAGGAGATGTATGAGGATCCATACTACGACGTTCCCGCCCCCAGGGTATACGACCCCGCGACCTTGACCGAAGCCCATTTCGTCTTCTGGGCACATACCTCGTCAGGGAGACAGGAGGTCGAGGAGTGGAGAGACCTCCGAGGAATCATCTACAAGGCCTTCGCAGCTCCCCGCTTCCTCCGCGAAATCCTCACCAGAGGTACTCGACTACACTCCGAGTGGTCGAGTGGAGGAGTCCGACTCACCGCCGCCCAGGATCTGGCGACAATAATGCTGCGATCTGAGACGGTCGTTTTCACGGAGGAGGACATTTCTGACTGCATATGGTGGGGCGGCCGATTCCATGAAAGACAGGACAAGATCGATGAATATGTCTTCAAAGTACAAGACAATTTCGACCAGGACTTCCCTGTCACCGGGATGGATTTCCGTGGCAAAACCCAATTCACCATGCGGCCCGGACAGGAGAACAAGATCTTCGCCCCATGGTACGATCTTGGCCAGATCGGATACCACGACATCCCTGACTGGCCCGCAAATTCGAACATCGCTTCGCGATTGATGACCGACCTGCCCGCCGAGCTCATGCTCATCGTTCTTGAAAACCTCTTCAAGTTCGATCAAGACATCCACATTGTCTTCGACCACGACGAAGACGAATACATCTTCATTGTGGAGCGGGAGCAACACCTGAAGGAGTTCCCGCAAGGGCTCCAGGGTGTAGAGATGCCAATGGGCAATTTCTGGAAGCTGCCATACTGTCACGAATTCTTCGCCTTTGGGGCGACTGGAGAGGCGAACCGCGCGATGATGATGGGCGTGTTCCACAGGAACAAGTTCATCGTACATGATGACTAGCCCTAGTCCATGGGGACCTTCAAAGGTCAAACCGAAGACGAGGGAGACGGTATAGGTATGCCGGGCGGATACGTGGGCTGGGGAGGTAGAGTGGTGTCGCTGTGGTGAGGATGGACGACCTCCTGGGGGCTGTATGATAGTTTGAAATTTGACTGTTTGTGTACGCTTGACGTATACCACACCACTACTTCTACATGATGTTGCTTACACGGGGACCCTCTGAGATACACCAGCCCAGTACTTGCACCTCTCCTCTAGCAGGGCGATGCCACCTTGTCGTAGTCCACTCGCAGTGACCAAGAATTGCTTTCCCTCTTCCACATCTGGCACGCCGGGTATGCTCGAATTCGTCACCTTGTGCGCATTTGGATCACCAGTCTGGATAAATGAACCCATGGCGCCAGCATATCCTTGGTAAGTCAGAGCATCTGTTTGCTGGATTGAACCGATCGTGTTCCACTAATGAAGTCAGTACGCTGCATCGATGTGAAAGAGACGGTATGCATGGACTTACGTATTGCACATCACTCGCATGCTTAGCAGGCGAGATAGTATACTCAACCAACCACCCCTTCTCCGCCTTCTTCGAAAGCCAATACGATGGGCATGCCAGAACGAGGTCGCGGTACAACAAGCCAGCGCGGATATAGGTCGAGTTCCAGCTAATTTCCTCCGCGGCGCCCACCGCAGGATACATCCTCTTTACCTCCTCTCGATCTTCCTCCGTGAAATCCGGCAGAAAACCCCTCAACCACCCATCAAAAGACGCCTCCGACGCGTTAAACCCATCACTCCCCGTCTTTTGATTCGCAAACCCCGGCGGAATAAAGTTCTCCCCCTCATGCAAATTATAACTCGCCAACACCATCTCCGCATTAAGCCTCCCCTTCTCCACCACACCACTCAACCCCTCCTCCAGAAACCCATCATCAATCACCGGCCCGTACGTAAAAGAAGCAGTAGTATACTGCTGACTCGTACTCAACCTCAACGCACTATCCCTCAACGCCTGCACATCCACCTCTTTCAAACACCTAATCTCATCTGCCACACCCGCACAGCCAACATGGCTCAGCGTCTGACTATACAGATCCTCCGCCCACGCGCTGTCGTACCGGTACGTCTTAGGCCAGAACGGACTACTCGCCAGGGCTTTCGTAAACAATCCCTTCCCCCGATTCCCCGTCGCAATCGTCTGCGCAACTACACTACCGCCGCCGGCCGACTGACCCCATATCGTGACGTTTCGTTTGTCGCCACCGAAATGGTGGATGTACTTTTGTATCCACTTCAACGCAGCCTGCTGGTCCAGTAACCCGGGGTTAAGATCGACATCAGGATGTTCAGCTATTTTGGACCCCGGCAGGAAGCCGAAGACGTTGGTGCGGTAGTTGGAGTATACGACTATGTAGTCGTTGCTGCTGGAGACGTTTAGCACGGGGTAGCCTGAAGGCGGGATGCTGAAGCTGGCGCTGCCGCGGATGAAGCCGCCGCCGTAGAAGGTTAGGAGGACGGGTCGGAGGTCCTGCTTTTTTGTCCAGGGGCGCGAGTAGAGGCCGAGGTAGAGACAGTCTTCTGAACCGTTTACGGTGCGCTGTGGGCACATGTCGAAGGCTTCGTCCGTGTCGTATGTGCCATTGGTGATGTGGAGCGGTGGTTGGGGTGCGCGGAATCGGTTTTCGCCTGCTGTTGATGCTGCGAAGGGGATTTTCCGGTAGTATGTGAGATTGTATTGGGAAGATGATGCGCCGCGGAAGGTACCGTAATCGAGATGGACGATGGGGTTAGATGCATTTTGATGGAGATACTGGGTTGGTGATGCAGAAACGGATGTACCGCCTGCCACGAAGGTGAGGATCAAACACGCCGCAGAGAGTAACATCGCAATTAATGTTTTTTAGCGAAACTCACGATCTTAAAAGTGCGGTCGTATGTACATATACAGAATTGGAGGTATTAGTCTAATGCCATATTAGCCCCTTCTCCGCAAATTACAGCAACTCATTCCCGGCGCCCGGATTGCGGGGACGGCTAAAACCAGGATAGTATGGAATGAACGTCAACAACAGTCGTCCATGAGTCGCGACGTTCGGTGCATTTTGCGCCGAGCCTTTGCTGGGGAAATGGACTAGGCTCAACTTTGGAGATGTTCCGTATGACGTCGATCATGAGTTTCTCCGGCTGACGTGACTAGAGCGGATGTGGCATGGCGGAAGTCGCGACATCTAAACAACATCATGTCCAAGAAGCCATGATTGAAGAGTATTGAAGAATGCATTGCCCAGGTGACGCTCAAGTCGTCTACTATCAACGCCGTCGTAACCCATAAAGCTAAGTCGTAACATCATAATGCCAACCATACAAGGCACGCTTCACGTCTACTTCCTCTCGCCCTTCCTTCCGGTCTTTTTCAACCTTGCAGCAAGATCCATCATACCGTCCGCCCAGACAGACATTTCCCTCTCATCCTTGATCTCGTTACCGCAGAAGTCGCGCAAGAAAGCGCCCATCTTCTCCTCGCCGTATTTCTCGCCGTAGACAACCTCCGCTCGCATATTGACCTCGGTCTCGATGCCCTCCTTGCCGAGAGTAACACCGACTTCAAATGTAGCCTTGACCTTTGTTTGAAGGGTTGGCAACAGCATGTTCGCGGAGATTGCCATGCGCTCGTCCGAGAGGATGAACTCTTCGGTGATGTAGCTATGCTCAAGCCAGCGAACACCCTCTGCGACTGCAACAGCGGTGGCCCAGCCATTCTTGACAAGGGAAAGAAGCGAGGAAATTCGGGTCTGCGATTGAGGGATCCCATGAAGATGCGCGCGGATGAGCTGGAGGAAGAAGCGCTTGCTTGTCGTCAACGCACGAGGATGTGGCGTTGCTGAATCACCGATGTAGGCCAGCGAGATGGATCCGTTGGGTGTGTTGGAGCCGGTGGCAAAGGCAGAAGGTACGAAGTAAAGTTCAAGGTCGTTCATGTGTGTCATGGTGATGCTGTTCGAGGAAGCGGACGTTATGCTCCATCCGTGGGCTTGTTCAAGGGCAGTGAGTTTGGCTAGTGTGCTGTCAGTGGGGTTGTTGTGCAAAGAATGAGCATTACATACCTCTCAGACTGCTGACCTCGCTTGTAGACCAGCCGCGGCACTCTTCTCGTACACGTTCCGCTGCTTTGATCTCTTGGATGCATTCGACTTTGCGGTCCTTAGCTGCCTCGATGCTTGTTTCCTTGTCGGCAAGCTCTTGTTGCAGCTGGGCAAGAAGCAGCTTCTTCTCTTCCAACTCGGCATCAGTAGCAGTAAGCTTCTCTCTCGTCTGCTCAAGCTCTTCCCGGTCACAGCTGTTGAGTTCATCGTGGCGCTGCTGTAGCTGCTTACACTCAGTGGACAGACGATCCTTAATCTCGACCAGAGGAGGCAACGTTTCGTCAAGAAGGCGCTCCTGTTTGATGAGTGTGGATTCGTCGTGGTTGAAACCGTCCATGGTGTGGAGGAGACCAGCTTTGAGATCGTGCAGCAGCGTGCTTCGCCATGTGTACCACTCTCCACGAGCCTCGAGGCGCGCGTTGGTCTTGAGGTTCTTGAACTGGTTGTCCATGACAGCGCGCTGGTCCGGGGGTGCAGTGAGGTACTCGCTGAAGAGCAGTGGGTTCTCTTCTAGTACGTTGGCCTCCATAGTACGGACAAAGTGACGACCATCTGAGATGTACTTCTTCATCTCGTGGCACGCATGCTGGTACAGTTCGTACTCAGGCAAGGTGCACGCTCCAGCCACAACGTAGCGATCTAGAGATTCCTCCTTCTCCTCTACTTCCACATCGTGGAAAGCGGAAGGAGCAGCAGTATGGCGTCGCTTGGTCGTACTAAGATCCATGAAGCGAATCTTGGTCATGTCGAGGAAGTCTTGTAACGAGATTCGCTCAACATCCGACATATCTTCTGCCACACCACCCTCGTCGTTATTCTCCTCCTCTGGCTCTTCACCAAAAGCGACGCGCTTCATTGGGCTCATGCTTTGCCTGAGGTTCCCCTTCTTGGGTGTCGGTGTCGGCTGCTTCGGCGTTGGCTGCTTTTGAGGAGTCTGTGACTTCTTCGGCGTCATCCCTTTCTTTACTGGGGACATTAATGTCTGTTTTCGCGGGGTAGATAACAGCTTGATGCTATTGCTCAGAAGTGCAGTGCTCTTGAGAGTAGGCTCCTGACGTGGTGCATTCAGAGGACTGAATTGCACTGCAGACAAGGACGAACGACGTCGGTCAAGTATTGTAGCTGCAATTGGGTCTTCAGGAATCATCATGGGTGTCCTCTGCGGCGTGGGGTTTGAAGGAGTCGCAACGGCTTCTTTCTCTTTGGTCGCACTCAGCGGAGTCCGGCGCACAAACGGCGAAGGTTCGACCTCCTCGATGTCCTTCTGCCTGACGATCTCTGGCGTACCAGGGTCAAGGGTCGGATATGCCACATCGCCGGTCGTACTGGGAGTGATGTCTTGCAGGACCTGAGGCGCTGATTCGGCCTCGGCCCCCAGAATGGAGCTCCTTCTTCGCCCAGGCGACTTCTTCGGAGACTTTCGCGGTGTCGGTGTCTTGGATGCTGAAGCGGGTGTGTCGTCTACGGGTGTTTGTGGTGTTGTTGTTGAGCTGCCGGCACGCCTAATACCAGGTCCAACGATTTTTGTGAACTCCATGGAAAGGTCTTCATCTTCGACCTCATCCTCCTCATCCTCCTGATCTTCCTGTACCTGTTGTTTGCCATTCTTAATGCTGCCCACAGCCAGCGTGAAGTCCATCGTCGCATCATCAACGACGCTTCCAACACTAGCACGTCGAGCTGTCTCCGGCTGTGGCGCTTTCTTAATCGCTCCAATTGCCATCGTGAGGTCCATGGTCGCGTCTTCTTCTCCGTGCTCTTCGGATTGTCGACGCTGTCGCAAACTTGTACGCCGGCTTGCAGTGCGCTTTGCAGGGCTACCTTGGTTTTCATCGAGCAATGAGACCCTCCTCTTAAGACTCTTCCTCCTGTTTGCTGGTTTGTAAGATGCCGCCATCGCCTGTATGCTTCCTAGTGGCATAGTAAGGTCCATGGTCATGTCATCGTCGTCGACGTCTGAGCTCGCTGCGTCTGAGCGTTGCTGTTGCTGCTGCTCCGGCTGCTTTTGTTGCGGTGGCGGAGGTACAATGCGGCCTACTGCACGTGTGATGTCCATACTCATGTCGTCGTCCTCGCCGGCTACAGTGCGTGCTGGGGAGAAAAGAGGGCTTGCATTCTCCTTGTCGTATTGTGCGACGAAGCTCTTCTTTGCCCAGGGCTTGAAGGATGCAGTGACTTCGTCTTGTGCAATCTCCATGCTCATGTCTCCGTCATCATCGTCGAAATCCAGCTTCTGAGTGCCTGCCAAGTTTGCAGCCTCGCGCAGCGCAGCATCCAGTCGAGCGCTACTCTGCGATGAGTCCTCAACATCGGGTGAAGCTCCTAGACTTTCTGTGGCATCGTCGATATCCATATCCTCAGAGTCGCTGCTCCCGTCATCGTTTCCACCAGGCGAAGCATTGTCTCCGCTAAGTGGACTTGAGGAGTAAACATCGTCGGGGTTGTTGAAGTTCATCGGCGGTATGCCCGAACTCCGGCGGTTCTTCTTTTGGTGTTGCGCGCGCTGGCTTTCAGGCGACGAACTGGGCTCTGGTTGAGGCTCTTCGGCTTGTTCTGGTGGTGTAGACGGTGGCTCGGCGGGGTCCGATGGAGGGGCAGGCGATGCCGGTGTGGATGCTTGTGAGACGTTCGAGGCTCTGCGTGTGGCCTCCGATGAGGCGGACGAGGTGGTCGCATCGCGCATGTACTCGACTACGTCCCATGTGTGTAGAGTGGCTTCCGGGGCGAAAGACACGCGTCGCCTTGCTAAACAACTATTAGTCAAGCCTGCAGGTCGATTTCACGCCCGAAACACGTACCCAGCGACTTACGGCGCGCTTCGCGCCGCTTCTTCTCATCTTCATCGTTCGAGGCTAGAATGGACTTGACGGCAGGGATAAACGCAGACTATTTGGTCAGCATTCACTCCTACAACCCCGTATACGAAGCATACCTTTCTGCGGTTTCCAAAACTCTCCTTCAGCGGAGGCGCTTCCAATTCCCCCAGACCCCCAGGGCCGATACTCTTGCTACGCGTCTTTTTCTTTGGTGATAATGCTGCTTTCTTCAAAGGTTGCGTCGACGCCTTGAACGATCCATTCGCGATTAGGCCGTCGGCGATATTCTCTTTGCCTGCTTGCGCCATGGTGGAGTCGCGATTTGGAGTGTGGTGGTGGTGTTCGGGATGACAGCACTCATGTAAACATGGAAGGCGCCAACCCAAACAATGGGGTATGAGGGCCCGTGCGCATTCGCCTGGTCTTGTGACAGCGCTCCCCGCGTCGTGCATTGCATCAAGAGCTGCACGTTCGCGGCCGTTTTTAGTCTATTGTCTATTGCGAGTCTACCTAAACGCCTCGCTCTTGTGTAGAAATCAACGCTCTCAAGACCTCTGAATATGTCCGCCTTTCAACGTTAGAACGGCACATCCATATCCTCAACACGCTCCTCTTCCTTCTTTCCCCCACCCTGCTGTTCGTGCAAAACTTCCTTGATGAACCCAATCAACGCATTAACACTAGCTTTCTGCGTGCTTGGAAGGAAGTGTCCCCCGGGGTGATACACAACGTACTTCTCCTCGCTGTGCTCGCAAGCCTGGACCAATGCCAGACTGCGCGCCTCTTCAACCACGACGTCTTGCGTACCCAAGAAATGCAGCATCGGTGTCTTGATCTTAGGCTCATAGAACGCGTGATAAGGGTTCTTTCCACGCGCTGCGAAGCCGCTATAGCTGACCGCAAACTTGAGCGGCGGATGTATTGTGCCCTCCATGTACCCGGTGTCCTCTTCGAAAGACTCTGGGAACCTCATACCGCCCTCAGGATACAGCTTCTCGAATGCGGCGCGACGGCCTGGCTCGAGCAAACTCGCGACCATAGCTGCCGCTGCTCCACCTTGTGAGAATCCCACGACACCGTCAAAAGGACCTTGTTCTTTCAACACGCTTGCGATGCGCTCCAACCCTTGCTCCATGCCTTCATATGTGTATGGTTCTCCTGTACCTTTCCTCCTCCACCACGCCCATGCATCGATTTCTTGCTCCTCTCCGTCCTTTGCATCTTTGCCCTCGCCATCTTTACTTGTGTTTCCCGCTAGGAACGATTCGTCGGCGGGGGTTAAACGTAGCGGCGCAGTAGGGTATACAAGTTCGATGCCTTTGGGGAAGGCTTTTTGTAATGTCTTGCGCAGTGCGCCGGTCTTGGCTTGGAATAGTGATCCTGATTGCGTGTAGCCATGGAGCATCAGCAGCTTTATCGGGCGATCTGGGGGCGGGGCGGCGGCCATGGTGCGCCAATGGGAGCGGACGCGGAAGTTGGCGAGTGTGTAAAGACGTGGGTCTGAGAGGGCGAGGAAGTGTTTGAAGCGCATGTACAGGATGCGCAAAGGAACTAGAGTGCAGACGTGTCAAGGTGGCTTGTAGAAGGCGTGATGCTGCGACACGAAGTTTTGGGTGTTGCTTCGGAATGATACCGATTCTCGGGATGCCGATTGCGTCATGGGCTAGCGGAAGACCACCTGGGCAACTACTCACGGCGCGAACACATTCTACGAGGTACGCAGGATAGACGCGGATATCAGTGTTTGACTCTTTTTACACGATGGATTCACGATAATTGTGAATGCGTTAGAGCCAGAGGCTACAGAGCCACGAGAGCAGTGAGGCGCGCTCTTTTTGTATAGACAGTGGTACTCCTCTATACACTCCTTTGTGCGTCTAACTGAATATCTACACATACGCCCTCAATCGAAATGACTCGGAGAGCGCGAAGATCTGGACACGCTGTCGACCCCACTATCCTCCCCCGCATTCATGTACTTCCGATACGGATTCGTGGATTTCGAAGTTCGTGAAGCCACCGACGGCGCTACTGACCTTCTTGATGCTTCAGATCGAGGAACAAGGAATTTGCTGACATCGCCAATATCGGACTGATCGGCATCGGAGCCTGCCGAACTGGGGCTCTTCTTGCCTCGCGTCTCTGCATCTGTGTCGTCGCAGACAGTGGAGTTCTCGCCCGAGTACACGGACGGCGCAGAGTGCGCTGATGACGCATACGTGGCTGGATAGGCACTCAAAGGTACCTCGGGGTCCTTGTCGAAATGCCATTGTAGCTGACGGTGGAGGCGCCGATAGTTGTTTTCTCTCATGAGGAACGATCGTTCAATGACTGTCTCGATGTCGTTCTGCGACGCATTAGTTTCGGGTGCACAGTCGCAAGCTGCATAGGTTCTTACATATGTCAATCTACCGTCGAGAATATATAAGCCCATATCGTTGGTCTGAAATTGGAAGCCAAGCTCGATCAGCGCATACTCTTCCACAAGGGCTTTCTGAATAGTGATCGATTCTTTGCCTGATGCTGTCTCAGATGCGCAAAACTGCGGTTCGTAGTCAGGGTCAAAGAAGTAGGTATGTATCGGTTGACTCCCTAGATAGTGAGTCTGACCTTTGCCTAGACAGTGTTAGTACATGGTTACCGAACTTTTGGGACACATCATTACCTGATATACGAGTGTAGGGTGTCCTCCATCCGGCTTGCCTCATGGTCAGCAGAAGCTCGCTTCCTAGATTAAGCGCCGAGGACTCCCAAAAGATGGTACTCCTAACAATCTGGTCATCCGTGTTGTCGTAATTATATTGTATGAGTTGACTGGTGTGAAACGGATCGTCTTCAGCGTCTTCAAACACAGATTCGATTCCAAACCCAGCCAGCGACTTTTGCAGCCTGTCCATCCTTTGAGAGCGTCTGTCGGCTTTGACAGGGAAGACGATCATCTGCTGAGACGGTGAGTTACTTTCCAATGTGCCTGTGCTTCCCAATGAAGTACGCGAAGCATGCATTGAGCTGATGGAACTGCGAAAGCTGTCACGACGAGAATTCCTTTGGGGGCGATCGCGATAGTTCGGCCTCATGTCCAGGCGCGCGAAACTTTCCAAGAATGGGGTGGAAGAAGATGCCGTAAGCGGAGCTCGTCTGCTTGTCGCATATTCTGTTACATCCACGCTGCGATTACCTTCCGCTATGCGAGTCCGTCTTATGGTCTGATCGTTATCTTGCTCTGAGCTCAATTGCTGCTCTTGTATTCCACGGAGTAGCTCTTCGTAGCGTTCCACTTGCAATTTGTGGACTTCATCGCTTCGTTGTCTTTCCGCTATGACCATGGCGTCAGCTCTTTTCCGTGCTTTTTTCTCGGCTTCCAGCTTCTCGGTGTTGAGGGCTGCTTGGGCTGCTTCCTTAGCCAACTGTGCCGCTGAGATCTCTCTCGCTGCCAGATCCTTCACTTGTTGAGCTTGTTCAGCTGCTCTTGCTTCCATAGCCTTCCTTTCCTCATCCCACATAACCTCCATGCGCTTTTGTTCTGCCCTTTGAAGTGCTACGAGACTTTCGAGCTGGTTCATCTTCTCCTCATCTTTCTCGTGGACGTCCTGCATTTGCTTCATGTACACCTCAGTTGTTGCATTTGCCCGTTCTCTTTCGCTTTGTACTTCGCGCTCCTGTAAGATCTTCGCCAGTCTTGAGAACGGAGGGTCTTCATACCCGACTGAGGGTTCTGGGTTGCGCTTCTCGAGTAATTTCTCCAGCCGAGCGAGAAGCCCGTCCCCTCCAGCCTCATCCGATGGCGGTGGAGGGGGTGGAGGAGGAGGAGGAGGAGGCCCCATCATGAAAGGCATAGGTGGAGCTTGAGCTTGAGCTGGAGACGGCGGAGGGGATTCAAAGACTGGCTGATGGCCTGGAGGGTGTTGTAGGTATGGATTAGATGCATGTGCTTGTCTCGGCGGCTCGGAAGGTAGTGGCACGTGTGATGTCTCCCGCAACCCCGGATAGTATCCATAATCGACAGGGGGCTGAGTATGACCAGGCCTGAAGGGATTCGAATACCCTGATCTGGGTTCCTTCTGAGGATCGTGAACGTTGACCCAGGCATGGTTTGGTGCACTGAAAGCTACATCCGTTTGATCACTTCGAATCGTGCGAACTCTCGATGAAGGCCGTCTGGATCCAGCCTCTGCGCGTGGCAGCTTCACGCCAGGTTTTCTTTCTTTAGATCCACGTCGACGTGGACGAGTGGTTGATGTTTTCCCAAATTTCACGTGTTGATCACCAGCCTTTCGCCTAGGCGACGGGGGATCGTTGTAGATTGGCGACGATCCGTATGCATAATAATCCTCTGTATTGCGGTCAGAGGTTCTTGCGCTCCTCGTACGGGCTTGTTGGGTGTTGCGGCGGAAGTTGTACGGAGGTGCATTAGCATCGAACGTGCTGTCTTCCTCAGCACTCTGGAATGCTTCGTCGTCGGACCCGACAGGCTCATTCTCCTGTTCCCACTCGTCCAAAGATACGTCATCATCCTTCTTTGCTTCCTCCACTTTTCTCAGGATGTCTTCCCTCCAGGTATCATCCTCAACTACACCCTCAACACCGTGTTGACGAGTTGAGCTGAGACTGATTTGATTGGGCGAAAGCGTAGTCCATGAGGAGAGTAGTCTGTTTACTACTAGATCGGGTTCTGTCTGTCTGCTCCACAAGATCATAGCCTTCTCATCTGGACTCGAAGGTCGTCTCTCAGGTAATGTGACCGGCTCAGAAGACGATGTGTGGCTACTTCTCGTGGCCGTCTCAACGCTTTCATCCACGACGGACGCTTGATGGAGTTGACGTTGTTGTGGGTATGGGGGTGGAGGACTTGTGTCGCCAGAGCTGAACACCATCTGAAAGAGCCAGGGCGCAGTGTCAGAAGAGGCGCTCTTCCATAGGTCTAATTCAGCCGAGGAGTGTGGTTCCGTGCCTGCCTCGAGCTTTTCATCTTCTTCTTGTGCACTCTCTACAACGTGCCTGCCCGCCTGAACAGCGCTTTCTACAATCCTACGGAACCGATTGAAACCTGGTCGGCCATGGCTTTGACCGTTTGAGTCGAAGTTGGCAGATCTGGTATTGTGAGTGACCGCAAAACTACGAAGACAACATCAATCATGCTTACGGCCGATTAGCCTCTTCCCTGGCGAGGCGGATGACACTTAGCTCCAGGACCAGTAGCGTCTTGATTCCCTCGATCTTCTTCAGAAGACCTTTCACTTTAATCTTGTTCGACAACCACTTGAGCCTTACGAGGCTTCGTCGTCGACTAATTAGTAATCGAATCTCCGCAGCGACCCCTTCGTATCTCGATATGATGGCGCGAGTATTTGCGAAGAATGCTGGCTTGCATAGATTCTGATGAGTACCAAGAATCTCTCCCAGAGTCTGCAGACTTCCTGCGAGTAGAGATATTTCATCCGCTAGTTTAATTGAGTATGTTATACGCTGATACTAGAGCAATCTGCCTACCGATATCCGCTATCTCTTTAGGTGCATTCTTAAGTGTCCCGACTACGCTGGAGAGAGCAAGCGAGAGCTGGGCCGCGCTTGCACCAATGGTGATCGCTGACGCGATGATGCTAATAGGATCCATTTGAACGTAGACGATGCGAACGACAGTTCAGCGGACGCGGGGAGCGATGCGCTGGCAATAGAAATCAGAGCACGTAGCCTTGTGGCTTACACAGCCTCTTTCATGTTCGTCTCCAGGTATTACATAGCCTCGCCGCTTTGCTGCAGGCTGACGACCATCCATTGGTTGTCGGGCCCATGCGGGTTACACGGAATTGTGTTGACGGTTTCGAGCTGAACTTGTGGGGGCCATGCTGCATCTGCAAGCCGGGGGCAGCAATGCGGCTAGGACGGGTACGAGCGATGTCATACGGGTCTGGATCGAACAGTTGGACGTGCATGGCAAAATGGTGTGAAGCTCCGATCCGATTCCAGGATTACTCGAGAGTTGACTTGGTTATAGGGCTCTATGCTGAACGTTGCCTACATGTTTGCGGCGTAATCACATCATGGAGCATCCGACCCATCGCGTATTGTAGCTGTTGTGCTATCCGGCATCGCCTCCAGCTCGAAAGAGCTCCATGCCAGTCTGTTGATGCCTGGTCGGATGATTGCAAAAAAGCGACTTAATTCTTTGTTCCGTCTTGCAGTATCCGGTGAGGAGCGCATATTAGTGCTGACTGAGTATTGTCGCTTATCAAGACGTGGTGAGGCTGAGAAGGAGACGGGACGAGTGTGGAGTAGAAATGCGGGATGTCTGAGTGGCTAGCGCGCCTCGGCTCTTGGCAGGTGCAATCCAAAAGTTATCGCTCTCATGACGACTGCCCGCTGGAGCTCAACCCCATGCCGCCATGAGCTTTCGACCAATACTGCCGCGGCCAATTGCAGCGCGGGATGCGAACACACTATGTCTGCGGTGTTGGCGCAGACTCGCAAAAGCGCCGCTGCAGTCCCGGAGACCAATTTCTTTCAATCCGTCGTATAGAGACGACGCCATAGTAGCCGGACGAGGCGGTACTGCTTTCGGCAAGGACTACTTCCGGGCGAACCCACTACTAAAGGACACATTCTGGAGGTCGGGGCCAGAGTTACAGAGCTCTATTCTGTCCATCAAATCGGCGAATACAGGTGGGCAGCAAGCGGCGAAGGAGGATGGCACAACGAGCACAGAAGAAGTGTTACCACATAGGCGGCGGAAGAAGGCAAAAGAGCAGGCAGTAGAGAACTCGGAGGCGGCATATCCAATACCACACGATGCGTCGTCCAAGCTGGCACACATATCGTCGAGCCTCCCGCAGCAGTCGCTCAAGCGCATGATGACTACATACCTCTCGCTATCGAAACCGCGCCTCTCCTTCCTCGTCGTCCTCAGTGCAACGGCCGCATACTCGCTGTACCCCGTACCAGGTCTGCTTGCCCCCGCAGCAACCGCCACTCCGTCCCTCTCGACCCTCACACTCTTCTTCCTCACATCCGGCACGGCGCTGTGCTCGGCATCCGCAAACGCCTTCAATATGATAATGGAGCCCGCACACGATGCTAAGATGAGTCGTACGCGCAATCGGCCTCTCGTTCGGAAGCTTATCAGCCCTCGAGGCGCCATCATCTTCGCCGTCGCGTGCGGGGTGCTTGGTACCGGCGCCCTCTACTACGGCGTCAACCCCACGACAGCGTTCCTTGGCGCCGCCAACATCGCCCTTTATGCGGCCGTGTACACACCCATGAAGCGCATGCACATACTGAACACCTGGGTTGGCGCCATCGTGGGAGGCATTCCGCCGCTCATGGGCTGGACGGCTGCAGCGAGTCAGTACGCCCATGACGGAACTTGGGAAGAACTGCTGTTTGGTGAGGGTTCGGCTGGAGGATGGCTGTGCGCTGCGTTGTTGTACGCCTGGCAGTTCCCCCACTTCAACGCGTTGAGCTGGGCCATCCGCGACGAGTACAAGAACGCGGGCTACCGCATGACAGCCTGGGTGAACCCTGGAATGAATGGACGTGTCGCACTGCGATACTCAATTCTGATGTTTCCTGTCTGCATCGGTCTGTCATACTGCGGCGTAACCGACTGGAGCTACGTAGCCACGAGTAGCGTCGTCAACGGCTGGATGGCACTCAAAGCCTGGCAGTTCTGGAAGGCCGAGGGACAGAAAGGAACTGCTAGAGGTCTATTCTGGGCTAGCATCTGGCACCTTCCCATTGTCATGGTACTCGCCATGGCCCAGAAGAAGGGACTTGGAGAACGTATTTACCGCAGCATTTTCGGCTATGCTGACATTGACGAAGAGGATCTGTACTACGAAGCCGGCGAGTTCGAGGCAGAGGAGCAGAAGCAATTGGCCTTCGTCGAGAGCAGACGAAACGCCTGAGATTGGCGTACCTGGGAGACCCACATTGCATGCTCGCTGTCAGGCAAGCACATTCACCGTTCCCGCTCACCCGTTGACGATCGCTCGATCAACAGGTACATGTTTCCATACCCACTGTACTATATGTCATTATCACGCATCTAGAAGGTCGCGATCGGATTTAACGAAAACAAGCTTCATGTCCATAGTGTTTCGCATCTTCGTCCCGGGTTTTCTCCAAGTCCTTCCATGCCGCCACGATACTGCAGTCCACACGCTCAATATATTCTAGCAGCCATTGTGTATCGCTTCGAGTAGTCGCCTCCATCCAACGTACGCTTGTGGTGCAACTAGAGACGCCATTCAATCTACCAGGATGGCAAAGCTGCCTGTCGCAATATCGGAACCGGGTCATGTGTTTCGACTACCGGACAGGGGGACGCTGCCTGCCGACCAATGACTACATGCTAGCGCCACTAACCTCATCTAAACATCCATATGTTTCTCATGAATTAATTGTACTGGGTCTCGCGTTTCAACACCTCGGTTCGGCAACGCCCCATCGCCTACCATCTCTTTTACCCGCCGGAACATTATCGACCTACTCGTGGGCAAGGCGGCGAAAAAATGAAGTACCACACGCCTGAGTCTGGGGCGCATAGTACTGCAATATAGAAGAACCTGGATGTGTGACGGCTCCACTACCAAGCCAGCAGAATGGTTGTATATATAGAGGGGGCTTTGGTACTTCGTATAGACAACAAGATACCCATCATCACATCTTCTTCACAGTAACCAACCATGAAGTGCTCCGTCCTCACCACCCTTCTCGCTGTCGCCAGCACAGCCAGCGCCCACTACACCTTCCCCGAACTCGTCGTCAAGGGCCAAAAGACCGGTCTGTGGCAATACGTCCGCAAGACCGCCAACTACCAATCCAACGGTACGCCTCCCCATTAATACCCATCACTTCCCATCCAAACACCCATCTAACACCCATCTAGGTCCCACAACAGACGTAACCGCCGACGCCATCCGCTGCTACGAGCTCGCCCCGGGTACAGGTTCAAAGACCTACACCGTCAACGCCGGCGACTCCGTCGGCTTCACAGCCGCATCCAGCATCTCGCACCCGGGCCCCCTCCAATTCTACCTCGCCAAGGTTCCCGAGGGAAAGACAGCTGCGACCTGGGATGGAAGCGGCGATGTGTGGTTCAAGATCTTCAGCCAGGGCGCTACCTTTTCTGGTGGGCAGATGAACTGGCCGAGCAACGGTATGTCTTCCCCTGTTCTCTACCTCGCACTCGTACAGAATAAAAAGCTGACGTGATCGTGTGAATAGGCAAACAGGAAGTCGACGTCACACTCCCCAAATCCCTTCCTTCGGGCGAATACCTCATGCGCGTTGAGCACATTGCTGTGCACTCTGCGTCCACCATCGGTGGTGCGCAGTTCTATATCTCGTGTGCGCAGTTGAAGGTTGAGAACGGTGGCAGCGGTACTCCGGGACCCAAGGTTGCTTTCCCGGGTGCGTACAAGGCGGACGACAAGGGCATCCAGCTCAACATTTACTACCCGGTTCCTACTAGCTACACTCCTCCCGGCCCTGCTGTGTGGAGTGGTTAGATGGACTAAGGGTGAGGGACAAATGGGGAGGATTTGGTTTCGTGTATATATTTCAGAATGAAACTTTCATGTCACATACTCTCAGCTTTGTTGAGGAACTTAGATCGCATGTAAGCGTTGTGAAATTGTTCTTGTTATATATTCTTGTACATTCTTTGGCCTCGTAAACCATCTCAATACTGGGCTTCAGTCCTATTTCGCGCTAGAGCCAGCGTGTGAGCTTCCGTGCTTCCTCCGACTCGAGCTCTTCTTCTCCTTCTCCTTCTTGTCCTTCTTTTCTTTCTCAGCCTTCTCGGGTTTCTCGGGCTTCGGGTCCTTTTCAGGCACCTCAGGTGCTACTTCCTGTTGCTCCCTGACTTCCTCGGGCTTACTACCCACCCTTCTTACGGCCCTGACAACGTCATCTGCTCGCTCGATTGCAACTTCGTGGCCTACACCGTCGAGTACCTTGACCCTGACATTTTCCTCACCCAGGACTGCTCTTGCATCCTCGGTGACTTCGTCGGCGATGATGACGGGGTCTGTTTCGCCGAGGATGAGCCAGACTTCCTTCAGTGGGCCAGCGCGGTTCTCGATGTTTTCGCGGATAACGGCCCAGCGCTCTTGTTGATTCTGGATGGGCGCGTGACGGATGGTCGATATGAAGGCTGGCACAAACCCCTTGTGGTTTTGTATCTGCCAATCCACGACGGAAGAGACGGTAGAGTGCGGGTTGCCGGGCAAGAGCATTTGGTTGCTGCTCAGATATGTCTTGTCTCCTTCGCTTGCAGTCGTGGTAGTCTCCGCATTCTCTACTGCTTCAGGGTCGCTCTCAACTACTTTGCGTCCTGTCCATAGTTTGCTTGCGACAAACTTGCGTACCATCCATTCCGGCATCCAGGAGCTGTTGTAGAGCATTTTGCTGGAAATGGAAATGCGGTTTTTGCGGATGAGCCCACTAGGAGCGACGAGGACGAGCCCGCGGACCAGCGAGGGGAAGTACGATGTGAAGTCTGCAGCGATGGCGCCTCCCAGAGAGTAGCCGACTATGGTGAAAACTGACCAGTGGATGGGCGAAGATTGTAGAGCGAGCAAGATCTGGCTGGTGAAGAGGCTGGAGTCATAGTTGGTTGTGTCCGGGTTAGGGCCATCAGAGTAGCCGCGACCAAAGAGGTCTGTTGATGTTGTTAGTATGATTATTTTGTAGCATAGCACGGACTGTCCACGATGCAGTTCGGTAATCGCATCTGCAGTGCACGTGGTTCACCGTTGGTAGGGCTGGCGGGCCCCTTGCCCAAACGGGCAAAGCAAGGAACCCCATGACACAGTCCTGCGCCCGGTTCAACGTGGGGCATGCAGATGTGGCGATCATAGAAGCTGCACAGAAAAACCATCTTCTCCATGTTCAGGAAGACGGTGTTTGGTTTCACGGCTTTGAAACAGCGAAGAGGAAAGTGATGGGGCAAAGACTAGCAGTGACAGCAAGGAGGACCCACCAAAAAGCATGACACGTCGGCCCCTGCCAACCAGTTTGTGTGCCAGGTCAGTCAAGGCAATGCTCGGAGTCGAAATGCCATGGATGAGCAAAACTTTTTCTCCATCCCTGGGGCCAAACTCATACACGCGGATAGTTCCCCATGGCGAATCGACATCGCGGGCTCCGGGCAGTGCAGCTGGATGGTATGGAAGTTCTGCAGCGTCCTCGGGAGACAGATCCGGTAGCAGGGAATCCCTGGGAGACGGAATCGGAGGCCGTCTGGCAGACTTTGAAGATGAAGTCAGAGCCCATAGAATGGATAGTCCGCCAACAGAGGCAGCGCCTATGATGGCATAGCGCTGGACCTTGGGAAGGCGCTCGAAGCGGGACAGCTGGGTGGCGGTGATGTTGGAGACCCTCTGGATGGCAACCTCGGCGGCTTTGGGCTGGGGCTTCTCGCTGGCGAATAAGGAAAACATGGCGATACAGGAATAGATGTAGAGAGTCGGACCCTGAGGCGGTGGAAGAATAAGCTGATCGCCATGGCGCTAAGCGATCGCCGCTTCCGCTGGATGCGCCACATGGAACAGGCCCATTGTTGCCATACCGTATTTCTTTTACAGCTCGGTTCGGATGCCATCGCCTGCCGTGCATGCGGCCGGCCTTACTAGAGACGCTGCCGCATGCATATCACACGAACCTTATCGCGACGTAACGTGAAATAATGCTCCGCGTACCAAGGCCGAGTTGAATTGGCGCTGATCTCGAGGCGGCTAGCCCTGCTGCTGTGGAGTGAGCCAAGTCTGGGAGCGCGTCAGCTCAATCCTCACAGCCACAAGCTGAGCACGGAGACGCTGCGTAGTCGGCCCTGCACTTCTACACATCCTCCCTGCCCACGGCGTTGCTGACCCGGGGACAAACCACTGCATTCTGACGAACCCCACTGTCTTTTATCTTCTCGCTGACCTTGCATTTACATTTCCCTTTCCTTCTCCTCTCCGCCCCTGCGCCATCCCCCAGGAGGGTCGCATGTCTGGTGCCGTCGTTTGCGGACCCCCGAGAACATTCACGCCTACATTTTCGCATATAGCAATACTACGATACTAGAGCAGTCGACTGCCATTGAGTCTGAGACAGCAACGAAGCATCCGCGATTGGCTGGGTCCTGTAGCGCATCATGGACGACTGGACGTCGAAACAGCTCCCTGAGCGCCTTCCCTTCTCCAAGAAGCGCCTTCCCAAGAAGGTCATCTTCTCGTGCGTACAGCTATGCATGCATAAGAGTAGTAGAAACTGACCAGCACAGATATATTGGCGACTACCTCATCATACTGCAAGCCCACCCTCGCCGCGTCACACGACCTCCTTCCCAGCTCGATCCGGCTAACAAAGCCATAGTGTTCTCATGATAACCTTCACCATTGTCGACAAGATCCCGCCCTTCCACCAGCACTTCGCCCTCGAAAACTACACCCTGCACTACCCGTTCGCCGAACATGAGCGCGTACCCGTCCCGTGGCTATGCGTCTACGTTATCCTCGCTCCCGCTGCGGTTATCGCACTCTACACGATGGTTATCGATGGGCTCTTCTCACACCAGACGACAATGCCCGCAGGCAGGGCTGGCATCAAGCGCCTATCAGGGAGATATCGATTCAAGGATCGGTTGTGGGAATTGAACTGTGGCATCCTTGGCCTTGGCCTGAGCATTGGCGCCGCCTTCACCATCACAGGAGCCTTGAAGAACGCCATCGGCAAGCCACGGCCGGATCTGATCAGCCGCTGCATCGTCGATGAAACCAAGCTCAACCTTGAAAAATACGCATTACAAACCATCGACATCTGCAAGCAGACTGACAATTACATTCTACAAGATGGCTTCAAGAGCTTCCCCTCCGGGCACAGCAGCGGTATGCGACATAATTGCACAGATAAAGCATCTACTAACGCCGTCCAGTCTCCTTCGCCGGTCTCTTCTACCTCTCCATCTACCTCGCCGGAAAGCTACACGTTCTCGATGCAAAGGGCGAGGTCTGGAGATCATTCCTCGTCATGGTTCCAGCCCTCGGCGCTGCTCTGATTACCGGAACCCGTATCATGGATGCTCGTCACCACCCATTCGACGTCCTTTCGGGAGCCCTACTTGGCATACTCGTATCATGGGGCTCCTACCGCCAGTACTTCCCTCCTGTCTCCGAGACATGGCGCAAGGGACGCGCATACCCAATTCGAGCCTGGGGTCAGGCATCGCGCGCACCACCGCAGCCCACGATAATGGTGGATGAGGATGTACAACCGCTGCAGCGCATGGCCAAGCCAGCGGACGAGGAACGCGGAGAAGCGTCTGGTTACTCGTCTACAACAGCCGTGCCTGAAGGCAGCGGCGACCACACAGGCAACGTCTTCCGCCAACAGATCCACAATTCGCAACGCAGACGCCAGGAATCAGGATCGCAGTATGGCGTTGATCGCAGCGATACAGCAGCATCAAGCAACTACCGAACCGGCACGATGGGGTCCACTATGACGTCGAAAGTGCACACGTACCAGAATCAATTGCCAGCTACGAATCCCTTCGCAGTAGATGTTGCGCGTCAACGTCAAATGGACACTTACGACTATTCGTCTTCAGAAGATGACGACAACTACGAGTTGCAAGCAAGGACTGGCGTGTACAACCCAGTATCTGGGAGGTTGACAGACACTGGATACCACCCGCCAGTGGGTCTCTCCCCAGTACCCACACCACCGCCTCCAGTCAATACCATCATACCAGACCAGCAGAGGACAATGTCACCTACGGGAGATTTGGCGGATAGGAGAGGCGCTCCACCAATGCCACCGCCACATGCTATAAGTACGGCACCTCAGCAGATTTGATAGGAATACGAAAAGCCTTGTTTAGCAGAACGCCCGGAGTTGTTTTTCTAGACATGCGATCAAGCATATGTTAGCATGTTAGTGTATTGAATATACGTGTAATCTTCACCCAAGCATGGTCGAGACGTTGCGCAAGTGAAGTCTGTATTACAACTACTAATTGAACAGCCCATATCCCCAAGAAAGAAGCAACAGAGAGATAAGCCTATCCCCTGCGTCTTGTGCTTGGACTCTTGCCCGCGGCATTCGCATACGACGGCGTAGCACCGCTCGAGACGGCACGCGCCATTTCCTTCCTGTCAGCCGCGATGGGTTTTTCCAATTTCTTCGACTCCGTCTTCTTGGACGCGGGCGCGTTCCAGTAGTATACGACCTGGCAGAAGAGGATAGCGTTGAGGGCGAAGCCAGCGATGAAGCCGTAGAGGATGAGCGGGTCGTCGACTTCTTGGAGAGTTGTGAAGATTCGAGACAGGGAACCGAGGAGGTAGTTGACAACCTGATAGCCATGTTAGTAAACCATCTCCTGTAATGCAGGAAAATGAGAACTTACAGCAAAAGCGCTCAACTGGCCCGTCCCACCCTCACTCCACACCGTCAGAATCTGAGGCACCTTGCTCGCAACGCCCAACACACCAGCCGTCGCCTGAAACAAGCTCAACTTCTCATTATCAACCCACTGGTCATTAAACAGCGCCGCGCCCGCCGCCGCCAACCCCCCAATCCATCCCGCAACGCCCACACCCCGTCCACTGTATTTCAACACCAAACTCGCAATAGCAATATTCTGCACGAGAATAAGCGCCGTCTCGCCATACGTGCTAAACGGAAATCCATGGCGGACGTTGTACGCAAGGCTGATAAGGTAGCTGCTTGATTCGAGGAGGTAGGACAGGAACGAGAGGCCGTCGGCGGACTGCGAGTTGAGCAGTTTGAGGAGCTGTGGGATCTTGACGATGGAGGAGGCGCCGATGATGCCGATGCCGAGGCCCTTGGAGATGGCGAGTTTGACGCATTCCGTGGCCGTGATGTCGACGTTGTAGATGAGGGTTTTGTAGCATTTTGGGCCGAGGAGCGAGATGCCGACGTCGGCGATGGGTTGGGGCAGGTTGTGCGTTATGGGTTGGATGGCGGATTTGAGGGCGTCCATGGTGGGTGGTGATGCGCTGGGTGGGCGACTTGGGCGGGTTGTTGGGTTGGGCTGAGAGGGGAGGACACTTTGCGGATACGAGGCGTGAGGGTCTGAACTTTTGGCCCGCACGCACGCTGACGCAAGGCTTGGCACGCGTAGGGGTTCGCGTGTTTACAAAGATCTGTGGGAGGGCGCATCGTGTCACGTCATTTTTTGTGTGCTAATTGCTACATCATACATTACTACTGCCATTACTGCCATTACAACCATTACAATGCTATCGCGCCCTAGCCACGACCGTCGAAATGCGAGAAGAATGCTATGGTATACTACAAAATGGTCCCGTCAAGTAAAAGGTGTCCGAAGACTCGCGAGATGGTAAAAGATCAAAGCGACGGTCCGGTCTGTACTTAAAACACGTACTGCAGATATGTAAGCGACGATTCAGTCAAGACGCGATATGTTGGACTTACCGGAATGAACAAATAAGGCACCTGCCTCTCATACTCCTTCCATGCCTCGCCGTACTTCTCCCGGCACTTCTCAATGTCTCTCAGCGCCCTGTGGATGATCATACCCGCAAAGAACACCGAGTAGAACCATGGGAACGGGCTGCTGAAGCCGGTAATAAGACCCCAGCTGATTGCGAAGAACAGATCGCACGTGTAGTGAATCTTACGCGCCTTGCCATACCAGCCGTCAGCCAGAATCTTGTTGCCGTGCGATGTCTGGATGGTCTTGGGGTTGGCGATGCGTCCGTACTTGAAGTAGGGGAAGGTAGTGCGCTCATCAACAACACCACGCTCCTCTTGACGGAACTGGTTCTTTTGCGAGTTGGTCGTGTCCCAGATGTAGTAGACGCCAAGGTAGGCGAGGGTGAGGAGGGCGGTGAACCAGGTTGGGAGTTGGTATTCAGAAGGGTGGTGGTTGGCGATGAACAGGGTGCAGTGGCAGTACGACAGAGGTACACCAGCCATGTTCCAGAAGATGAGCATGAAGCCGAGCTTCTCGTAGTACATGTCCCAGGTTGTGATGATGAGGTGCTCTCCCTTTGCGCAGGCGCCGGCGTACAGGTAGTGGGCGAAGAGCAGAAAGATGGCTTCGATGGACACGTAGCCATACTGTTCGTACTGCTTCAGGCAGGTACCGAGCGAAAGGAAGAAGAGGATGAACCACGGAATGCGGACCTCGAGGAACATCTTGAAGTCCAGAATGCCGAACAGTCTGGGGTTGAGCTCCGCACCAAGGAAGAAGTCGACAATGGGGTTGTCAGTCATCCGAAGGTCAGCGCCGCGGACACGAGCTGAGACGTATGCGATTGTCGAGCAGAGGAAGCCTGAAAGGATGGCTACGCTCATGATGTGGCCGAACTCGTCGATGAGAGTGTACAGCTTGAAGACACCAGTGAAGTGGAGCGTCAACATGATGACAATGCTGGAGTAGAAAGACCACATGGCCGAGCAGTAGTAGTCCAACTGCTTTCCACCCAGATGAGGCAGAGCCTTGCCCTTGCGGTAGACACCCGGCATGAGCATGTAGAAGGCCATCTGCATGAGTCCGAAGAACCAGTAGATCTGCCACGCTTTGTTGTTCGGGAACGCCTCGGTCTTGACCAGATACCACATGTGTCCAAAGAAGTCGCCGTAGCTCTGGCCCGCGGTCGGTGTAGGGAATTTGCCGTCGTAGAAGGTCGCTCCAATCCACATGTAGTACATGAGCGCTGGGAAGCAGATCATCATGCTGCTCATACCAATGGCGCCTCCGAACTCGTGCAGGCCGGACTTGTCTTTTGGCGAGAAGAACTTTTCCGCCTCCATCTTGTAGTCCAGCTCGACGATCTCCTTTTCGCTCTTTGGGCGCCCGTTTGCGTTCCCGTTGGTGTGTCCATTCGTGTAGCCGTTGGCGTGTCCGTTTCCGTTGGCATGGCCATTGCTCTTTTCCTCGACTTCGTGCTTCACATCGCTGTCGCCAGATCGGAGAGGCTTCAAGAAGTTCTCTGGCTCGGGCGTTGATTCGTATCCGTCGTCGACATCGGACGCAAGCGATTTGCGTTGCGACTTTCTGCGCCCGGGGGTCTCGACAAAGCCAGGACGGTCAGGCTTTCTGCGTTATGCATGTCAGCAACTAATGCACATGTCTGCACAGTATGCACGCGCGACCTGGCATTCACTCACTGGGGCGTCTTGCCGGCCTGCGACCGCGTCACTCGCATTGACATGGCTACTGTAGGTGCGGGTGTGGCGACGCGCTCTTTCAAGGGGTTCAGACTCGAAAAAGATGAAGCCGAATTTTTGGCAAAGATGACAAGATATGAAGTAGAAGAACTGCCGCTGAAAAAGGTACAAATGCCGTCACAGCACGATCATAAAGGCTATGTACACGGCGCGAATCACCAATGGCACAAAAAGCGGCGGTGAAGTCTTTGTGTTTGTTGACAAGTAGTATGAATTCGGGGAGTTGCTCAGGGCTAGGGGTAATTTGCGCCAATCGGAGCGCGCAGGGCCCGAGTCCGTGACATCAACATGGGACGCTACTGGTAAATACGGTTTATACGGATGTAATTTTGCAGTGGAGTGCCTGACGTCGCGACGTGAAGTCTGAGAGAGTGACATGACGTCGTAATCTTTGTAAGCACCCCGAATGCTAAATGATGCTACAAGTTCCCAGACCTAGCATGCGCTTCGCGAAAGTATAAAGTTCGCTACAATGAAATCCTCTGCCATCCACCGCTACACCAGTCTTGCTGTGTGGTACTTGCATGTCGTCGTGTGGGCCGAGTTGCCCACTCGCCTGACGTTGTTGTAGTTGCAAAGACAGATCCAGCAAAACTCAAAGCGGCATTTCGAGCCTATGAAAGTCAGCAAGCGGTCATTGACGTCTAAAGCAACGCGAAACGTACATGTCATGTGGTCGCAGCCATCGTTCTTCTCAATATTCCACGTACATCCGGGACCGGGACACTTCTTGGTCAGCTTCCCGATCGCTTGAAGACTTGCTTCTTCTTGTGCTCTCTGGTCTCGCTCCTTGCGACCAGAAGATCGATATTCAAACTCCTCACAAGTTTCGCCTTCATGCCATGTGTTCTCGTGGATGATACAGACTTTGTGTCCACATGCTACACATGTGAAGATATTGCCTTCGACACCGCTCATGTGGATCTGACCGGAGTCACACGCTCGACACCATCGGAAGTTGGCTGTGCCATTGTCAGCTTTTGAAACCTAAAAGTGTTGTTGCTACGACTCACGATCTTCGCTGAAAGCTGCTCGGGCGATGAACGTGTCGTATTGCTGGAAGATCTCCGGTTGCGCGTATAGCCGGATCTCATGGTATGACAGCACTGTCTCGCATTTGCTCCCTGGACATTTGGCTTCGCGCCAGCTACTGCTTTGAAGCTGCGCGGTTATCCATCCTGAGTAACAGTCCGCACACGTCTCCGGTCGATGATCACATTCAGCAAGAGAGGGTAGGTCGACAACATGAACGCTATCGCCACAGACGACGCAATCACGACTCCGCAGATGCGTCCTCTCATCCATGTAGGTGCTCGTCGCCTGTGGCGTATCGACCGGCCTTGCGTTGTATTGATGGAAAGGCGATACACCATCAATATCCATTGGCTCTCCATACAGCGCCACATAGTCTTGGATTCGCGCCCTTTCGGGAACAACAACTTTGGCCTCGTCGGGTTCGGGGTCTAGATCGATAGGATGCTCTCGTGTGCCGATGTTGGTAATGGCCCGCCGCAAACTGGCTAACCGTCCACTCTTTTGAGACGGTACCCGAGGAGACGCAGCTCGAGGTGCAGATGATTCAGACCCTTCCGCAATGCGCGAAGCAGTCGTTCGATAAGTCGCATCCTCTTCCCGTTGCAGATGCTCAGCCAACAGACGGTCTTGCTCTTCTTGAGCTGCGTAATCTTTATCTCCCCGCGGAGACCTCAGCCCGTGTGTACTTCTTGTAGCTTGGATTGGGTTCTGATTTTCGATTTGCGCAATACGAGCTGCAAGGTCAAACTCCGAACCCTCTGAGCTGTCCGAGCTATCGGGTGTTAGCATATCTTCAGAGCTACTGCTCGATAAATCAGGACTTTGACATCGATGGTCAGGCCTCATTCGCAGAAACCTCGCCTTTCGAGTTCGTCGTCGATTCAGCGACTGTCGTGATAACCCGCCTGACTGGAAGAAGTTTGTGTTTTCGAAATTGCCTCCAGGGCGGTCCGAGCCTGCAGTCGCATCAAGTTCACTGTAATCGTCGATCATTATGGGTTCGCTATGTGTCTGGCCCTGACGAGGGCGGTTCACACCCGGCTGTGTCGTTTGTGAACGCGGCTCCTCTCGAAAGCTCGGCAAGATGGGATTCGAGACCGCCATCCTGTTCCATGCTGCTTTGGCGGCTATGGTCTTGGTTGATGTAGAAGATTGGAGGGGAAGTGAGAAGTTTGTTGCACTACTAGACGTTGACAAGTCGGCAGGTGCGAGTGGCACATTCGGCAGTCGCAGCTTCCCCCACTGCTCGGTGAGTGCGTCTCTCACTGTCAACTGTGGAGGTTCCTTCCTATGTATCCGGGGCACGTCGCCTTGTTCATCCGACTGTAAAGGATCGTACGAAGATGGTTGCGCGGAGATTGGGTATACAAGATGTGGCTCGGGAAGCACAAGCGAAGCGATGCTGAGACTTCTTCCAGGCTGGACAACTTCGCTTTGTTGTGTTTGTGGACGAGTCTTGAGAAGCGATCGTGGGGCGGGCTGTGACGTAATCCGGCGCGTGCGCACGTGGTCAGCCATATGTGGTTCTCGCGCGCAAGACACTGGCAGTGCAACTTGAGGATGACTGGCATTAGGCGTGACGGAAGAAGACTCGGTTATCGACTGCTTGGGTCTCCCTTTCTTTGGCTTGAACTTGTGAGAAAGACGTTTCCCGAACGCGAGCTTCGATGGTCGATCCGGCAGGTAAGCCTGAGAGAGTCTGGATGATATGTTAGGACTTGATTGTAAACATGCAACATTTCGAGCAAGGTTGTATCGCACTTACTCTGCCATGGTTGTGGTTGCTGTGTCTACGCAGAGTCTAAAGCTGGCTCAGCCCTGCAGACGGTTACCTGGGTAGGCTGTGCGCGAAGCACATGTGTAACAGTCTCTTCCGGTCTCCGTATGGTTGAGAAACTGCAATGGGTTGAGGAGAATTCACGCAGGGTTGAAGGTGCAATATCTGAGATTGTCAAGGAGTGTGATGAAAGCTGAAACTCAAGGGCTATGTGCGAGAAAGCTCACGAGGCTGGGCTTCGTGTGGCTAGAGATATTTAGGGTCCAATGTGCAAGGCCCAAAGGACCGAAGATTCATTGGAAGGCTTGAATTCAATGATCTCTCCGGTGATAGTATGCAGCCACTCGCATCTGTACCACGCTTGCCGACCAATTATTAACTAGGGCGCTACCCAACCACTGGTCAACTCACCCAGAAGATAGACCACGATTGCTCAGCCTACTTGCATCCGAAAGCTCTTAAACCTTCCGGGCGGGCTTCACTGTGCCAACACATACTCCAAACCCGACACCAGTGCTTCCATCTCCAACAACACCTGTGTAGCGCACCTCGTCCCCATCATTGAGGTAGCGTAGCTCAGATCCATCGCTCAGTTTGCTTGGAGCCTTGCCGTTCTTAGTCAGTTCGAGCAAACATCCATGTTCATGTTCTTGTTCGCCCGACACTGTCCCGCTAGCTACCAGATCTCCTGTGCGGAGTCCACAGCCGCCGATAGTGTGGTGCGCTAACATATGCCTGAAGGTCCAGTACATCGTCTCGAAACCAACCTTGCAGGTCGTAGTCTGAGTACCGTTTCGGAGGATCTGACCTTCAAGCTGGATGTTGTAGTTGATGCTGTTGGGATCGTCCATGAAGGAGGCTACAGGCTCCATACGAGGCGGGGCCGAGACCTCATGGGGCTTCAATGCTTCTAGCGTAACGACCCAAGGGGTGATCGAAGTCATAAAGTTCTTTCCGTTGAAAGGCCCAAGCGGATTCATCTCTAAGCCTTGGATATCTCTCGCGCTCCAATCGTTCAGCAGAACCAGTCCGAAGATATGGTCATCCGCGTCCTTTGCGTTCAGATACGTTCCAGCTTGAACGGGTTTGCCGATGACTGCCGCGATTTCCATCTCGTAGTCCAAGCCCCGTGACGGGCCAAACATGATCTTCTTCTCCGGAACGGTGTAGTCCTCGATGAATTGACCCAGAGGTCTTGTAACGGATGCCCCTGAGACTGTGATTGAACTTGACCGGCCTGCGTAGCCCACGGGGTATTTCATGAAAGCAGGTGGGTAGGCACGAACTCCTTGCACCGCTTCTCCCGCATTCAGAACATGGTTTGCTGAAGCGCTGTAGTCTGTGAAGTCTCCGACACTGACTGGCATATAGAGCGTAACATCGCTGATGTTCTCTGAACAATTGGCGTGTGACTTGCTCTTATATGCTTCTTGTATCGCAGAGCGTACGTGACTCTGTATGTCTTTTCCCAGCGCGGCGAATGTGTTCAACGTGGATTCGCGGAAGATGGAGGATAGCGGTGCTGAGATGGCTTTGAGGGAGTCATGCTCCGCGAGCTCCGCGAGGAAGATGACCTCGTCACCGATGCGTGTGGCACACTGTGGTGCAGAGCGCTTTGACGAGCTTGCGATACCGTATGGGATGTTGTTTACACCGAAGTGCGAAGCGTAATTGTCTGCCATTGTGTCATGAGTCTTAGGTATTCTGGTGTCAAGATTTCGGTCGACTTGTTAGCAAAGAGCAATACACGATATCCAACTCGCAATACTCAGATTCCAGACTACAGTTACCAACATTGACCCGAACCTAAGCTCGCGAGACATTGTGTAGGTGGGGATTACCATCTCGGATACAGCTCCTCCACATCCCATCAACTCCTGTAAGCTAATATGTCCGGAGCTGAACACGGCAATGCTCGAGAGTGGAGACTGAACGTTCCATGGTTATCCGGCTGAAGTTGACGCAGCTATTGATCGCGTCCAGTCCAAACTTCGCGGGACAACCTTCAACCCTTCGGCCGTACGCATTCGGTCTAGTACGGAAGTGGGCAAGCGCGTCCGTCAATCGATAAGCAGGACACGCGTCATCTTCACTCTCGAACAGTGGCAGTACTTGTCGCTTGCTCACATCTCACTCCAACCCGAAGACCTTCGTACAACCCCATCCGACAACTCTATTCAAAACAATTGGGGAAGCTTGTGTACTATGCAGGACCCCGCACGGGATATACCGAGCCTAGGCCGGCAGATGGCGGATGCAGGGTCTCTGCCCTCCACATCGGGATCCTGTATATGAGTTCACTAGACGGGTTCAGCGCGACGCGTTTGAGATGTTTATGATCATCAGGTCTTGAATCTTCTTCCAAATCACACGAAGCGTCTGTATTCATACATTACAATCAGATAATCTTGACGCTCAGTTACCTCTTCATACCCCCAGATCACCTCCAAAAATGGCCTCCAAACCCCAAATCGCCAATGACCTTCCCAAGGTTAACCGCTTCATCACAACCCACGATCCCACCACCAAGAAAGCCATATTCTCCGATGCGGTTCCAGAAGAAGCCAAAGTCGACCACATTCCCAATGCCGACTTCCGGCTCGGATACGTTACCAAGGGATTTCCCGTCGATCTGAACAAAGACGCCGACCTAGCGGTCTACAAGCCTTACCTCGAGTCATCTCCAGGTCTGGTCGTTGGAGGAGGAACAGTGCTACGCTTTGTAGACGTAGCACCTGGTCATCTTTCCCCTATGCATCGTACAGTCTCTCTTGACTACGGTGTCGTGCTGGAAGGTGAGATGGAGTTGGTGCTGGATTCGGGAGAGACAAGGTTGATGAAGAGGGGAGATGTTGCGATTCAGAGGGGCACAATGCATGCTTGGAGAAACACCAGCACCACATCTTGGGGACGCATGATGTATGTTCTACAAGAATGTAAACCAGTAGAGGTCGGTGGTGAGGCCCTAAAGGAGGACTACGGAAACATGCAGGGTGTTCCAGCATCGTCGTAGACGCAGTATTACTTGTAGATATATGAAGCCTCGCATCATCGCGCATATACATCATCTTGCTCTGAGCCGTGCTGTGCCATATGTAGCTTCAACCAAATTTCTTGACATCGTGAGTGCGGCATACAACTGCCCTTGATGGCCGAAGTTGAAATGGCATTGTTAGTACAGGGAGCGAAAGCTCGGCTGACGCCGGCTGATCAATTGTCCCGAGGCAACAAAAAGTGAAAAGCTCGTACGAGTGCAGACCAGGTGTCAAATGTTGGGTCTGTAAGAAGGCGTGTTCCACCTGTTCGCGTGTCTGTACCTAGGTAATCGTGGAAGGTCAACTTAGGCAACGCGCCAAGTGGAAGGTGGCACCTCCACATTCCGAAATGTGCCCCTCGAACACTGCCGCCGCACCTTACCAGCGGCGCGTTGTCGGCACGAGCATCCACTACGCGTCGCAATATGATGTATATATCCAAATGCTGGATGAAGTATGTTTCTTTCTTTCCAAGTACCAAATACGCAAAATGTCTGACCAGCTAGAAATCAAAGATGCTTACTCGATTGACGAGTCGTCGTTTCCCTACCTGTACGAGCAGAATGTCGCAGTGCCGCTGAAGACATCCTCAAAAGGCATCATTCGATGCAACGTGTACCGGCCGAAGTCTACGAAGGAGGGCACGAAGCTTCCTGTGCTGGTGACGTACGGACCGTATGGAAAGGACATCCACTACAAGGAGTAAGTCGAAACGGAGGTTCTCAGTCGTGCAGCAGCTAACATCTCCAGCTTTCACGGAAAGTCGTTCGCCGAAGTCAACCCCGAACATCACTCTGATCACTCAGCATGGGAGACGCCAGACCCAGGTTTCTGGACGAAGCATGACTACATCATCGTGCGCGCCGACGAACGTGGCTTGGGCCAGTCTCCAGGCTTCTTGGACACCATGTCGCGCGGAACAAGCGAGGCTTTCTTCGATGTCGTCGAGTGGGCCGCTGAGCAGCCGTGGTCTTCTGGAAAGGTCGGCCTGCTCGGTATCAGCTACTATGCTGGATCCCAGTGGCGTGTGGCAGCGCGCAAGCCCAAGGGGCTGGCTGCGGTTATTCCCTGGGAGGGCATGAGCGATTACTACCGTGATCGATGCCGCCATGGAGGTATCTTGAGCAACAAGTTCATCGATTTCTGGTGGTAAGTATTTCTCGCAATTTGTTATACTTCAGATACTAACTTGACCTTTATCAGGAATCGTCAGGTCATCACCAACCAATATGGTCGCCCAGGCCGTGCCGAGCGCAATTGGGGACCGGACACCGTCGATGGTAACCTCTCGGAAGAAGTGCGCGCAAAGAACCGACAAGACCAGACGATCGATACCGCCGCATTCAAGTACCGCGACGAATCATACTATGCAAGCAAAGAGTACGACATGAGCGACATCGAAGTACCGCTGCTCTCGGTCGGCAACTGGGGCGGCATTCTGCTCCATCTCCGCGGAAACATCGAAGGCTACGCACATGCAGGTTCTGAGTTCAAGTACCTACGAATGATCACAGGAAGGCACGACTTGCCATTCTACTACAAGGAGGAAGTGGAGATACAACGAAGCTTCCTCGATGCTTTCCTCAAGGGCGATGACAGAGTTGGGTGGTCTGTCAAGGGCAAGCTTCCTCCTGTTGACATGGTCCTGCGCAAAGGCGACATTGGCTTCAACGACGCCGAGAAAGAAAAGGTGTATGAACGACGAACGGAGAACGAGTGGCCCATTGCACGAACCCGCTATTCGAAGTTCTACCTTACGCCATCCCAGACTTTGACGCAAGTCCAGCCCATCACCAACAGGCCACAGAAGCTGTCGTACGAGGCGCTTGGCACCCTCGACAACCCCAAGCTTCTCCAGTTCACCACTGCGCCATTCGAGGAGGAGACTGAGATTACCGGCCACATCGTCGCACATCTGAACGTCTCCCTCTCAGCGCACTCCAACGGTGTAACGCCATCCGACATCGACCTCTTCCTCACACTACGTTACATCTCGCCCGAGGGCAAAGAAGTCTACTACACCGGCACAGCAGGCGATCCCATTCCCCTCGCCAAGGGCTGGCTGCGCGTCAGCTTCCGCAAGACCAACCCAGACCACCCAAAGCACCGCGAATACCTCCCATGGAGAGATTACTTCAGCACCGACGTCCAGCCTGTCATACCCGGCGACGTATACGCCGTGGATGTGGAGGTTTGGCCAACCAACGTCATCGTTGAAAAGGGTGGCAAGATCGTGTTTGAGATCAGTAGCGGTGACACACAAGGAAGTGGTATCTTCCAACACAACCATCCTGAGGACAGGAGCGAGGAGAAGTTTGCGGGATGGAATCATTTGCATTTTAGCGAGAAGGCTGTGAACTATGTCACTCTGCCGGTTGTGCCACCTAAATAGATCAGTAGATATATTGTTGCAACGGAAGTTCAGATGTTGTTACATCAACTTGTCTTCACCGTTTTCGCAGAATCATGTGTTTGACGTAAGTCGCATAAGCACAAACATACGATGCGGAACACTAACGATGAAGAACAGCGTTGATCCAAGTCTTCAAGTATGGCAGGACGTGAGATCGCAAACTCGTTGGGAGTAACAATGTAGTGATAGTCATAATGCGACAAGAAGTGAATTGGATATATATAGTACTCAAACTCTCTACTCCCATCTTCCGACAGTAAACTGGCTGTTGCACATATTGACCAACTCCCAATCCTCAGCACCAAGCACACATTCGTCGCCATCCCTCTTGCTCCCATCGACAACCCCAGCCACGAAGCATGCGGCCATATAGTGATCGTCGGTGGCATGCGCATCCCTGAACATGGGATGTTTCATCAACCTTGTAATACCACGAGTCAGACTACCCTTCTTCGCATCCTTCCTACAGCAGCGAACAAAGACGTCTTCGACACTCTGGCGGAACTCCAGCATTGGGGCCTCTGGTGGGTAGGGCTGGGCAAAGTTGTCCGAGTACCTCAACATCTGTGCCCAGTGATTTCTGTATAGGTTGTGTACCGCGCCACCTGTCCCGATGATCAGGTAGCCCTCGTCGCGGAACTTGGCCAAGATGTTACCCACACGCGCGTGCAGATGTGGGTCGAATCGCGAGTTCATACTGATGATCGTTGTTGGAGGGCATTTCTCAGGAAACATCCGAATGAGAATCAAGTACGTGTCGTGGATCCAGTCAAAGGTCTCATTCGGTCGCGCATCGATGCCCTTTTCTCTCAGCGCTGCTATGCACTTCTTTCCGCTCTCGAGATCGGGGACGAGCTCGTAGTCTTTGTATTTGCGGGGGTGGACGTATGCGACGGGGGATTTGATGGGCTTGGGGTTCATGGCTACGTCGATGCGGTTTACGCCGCGGGCGTCCCAATGCGCGCCCATCATAATCACGCCTTTAAAACCGTGGGAGAGGGCTTCGTCGCCGCAGGCTTTCCAATAGGTGGCGGATTGGGATTCCTCGCCCAGCATCATTGTTGAGCCATGGGAGAAGAAGTGTACGGGTGGCGCCATTGCGGTGTGTTGTTTCAGCCGTAGACTGAGTTGGAAGGGATGACCAAGATAGTAGATGATCAGGTTAGATGTCCGTGTCGCGAGGTTGTGGCGGACTTGTCGCGATATTGATATCACACGGCCAAATTGGCAAACGTCGTGTCCAACACGCGGCTTCACTGGAAGCTTTACCCATTATGATCAGCGCTGTATAGGCAGTCCCAGATGCTTACGGCGGCAAAAGTCGTGATGTGGGGAGTGTTGGAGGAGAGGCCGAGCGTCTAGCCGAGGGGAAGAAGGCACGCCCGTGTCCTGTCGATCTCCGCATTCCTCTCCACCCACAACCTTATCTCCAGCTTCCCTCCACTTTCCTCTGTCCCTCCGTCCCGATGCCATCGTTCTTCGAAGCCACCCGATAGCACCTCAGCATGCAGACTGCCCCGACATCAGCAAATGTCCAGCTAGCCAGTGCAGAAGCCGAACCACCACGCCTATTCCAGTGTAGCACCTGCAAACGGTCCTTCACGAGAGCGGATCACCTTACGAGGCACGTGAGGGCGCGTAAGTGCTTTTAGAATTAGTGAACAATGTGGTCCGTCAGCCGTGTGCCTGACTACTCGCAATTGAAGCTAGTTGGCCGTCATAATGGCGTCAGACGCGTTCGCGTCGTTGACTCGCGCCGAAAGAACTGCTTTTTCGCGTCTTGAGCATCTTGTTCGCTTTTGATGTTCATCATGTCCCATTCACCATGCTAATCCAGCACTGACAGATACGAAATCTAAGCCTTACATCTGCCCCGTGTGTTCTAAAGGCTTTGCGCGAATGTGAGTGCTTTATTGCATGCAAAAAGTTATACTCCGCTGATACGTTACAGAGATCTACTCAAAAGACACGTAACAAATCACGACACAGAGCCTGCAAGCAAGCGACAAAAGCGCGAGATCGCTCGCGACACCAGAGTCGTTCAGGCCTGCGAAGCTTGCTCCCAAAGCCATCTCCGCTGCGAAGACGAGAAGCCATGCAGTCGATGCAAGAAGAAGAAGATACCCTGCCGGGTACCTGAAGTCCCGGTTACAGACGAAAACGACATACATGAGATTGATGCAGTTCATGCGGCGCAGGATCTGCTCGATTTGTCGAATGGCTTCGATTACCCCTCATCGCTGCCGGCTCACGGCGGCAGCGTCAATACATCTGCATCTACGACCTCAGAGACTCCAGAACCTTTTCACAACCACGCGACCCTAGTCGTTACCGACGCGAATACAATGCACCGACACTCCGTAGCTTCTAGCGATCTCGAGACAAGGACAGCAGGTATGGGCGACATGCAGCCACCACCGCCCAACAACGGCGGCGGCCTTGTCGCGATGAATCAAAACTACGAAGACCCGAGCGCATCTATGCCTTTCTTCGATAATTCGATTGCGCACTTTGACAACACGCCAGGGCACAATCCCTTCTTGCCAGACTATTTCCGCAGCATGCCCCCATTTGAAGCGTTCCTTTCTGGCCAGGCAACTCCACGGGGTATTATGGACCTCAGTTTCGATCTAGATGTTGGCTTGACCGACCTTGATCTCGGTCTTCTTGATCAATACAACTTCCAGGTCCCGTTCGCTGCTGATACACCATCTACGGACGCCCATGGCGCTGAGCAACCCGTACCCGAGACTGATACGGCTCCTGTAAGGGCGGAAGCATTCAAGCAGAGCATCTGGCGTTATCTCCCCCAACGGTCCAGGAACCCCACTGCGGAACAAGTCAACTTGGCTGTACCGGATACAGAAAAGGACGGTTATAGACGTTCCAACTTCACACACCGCCGCGTCGTGGCAGAGAAGTATGTTTAGCTCCGCGATTATGGCGTACAATAGATCTATACTGACGTTCTTTCTAGACTACCACGTGCCAGCCGCGACCGGTTGATGGCTTTGGTTCTCGACACCTGTAGCCGAGAGAACGTCAAACGTATTGCATCGGCATTTCCTAGTATGGAACTACTGGACGGTCTGATCCAGTATTTCCTCTCATCGCCATCGATAGACGCGCCAACGTGGTTTCACCTTCCTACTTTTTCACCCTCGAAGTTGAACCCGGAGTTGCTTGCTTCTGTCGTGTCTGCTGGAGCGGCCACTCTTCCTGACATATCTTTGCGAAAGCTGGGCTACGCTCTGCATGAGGCTTCCAGATTAGGGCAGTCCAAATCATTCGAAGAGGACAACACAGCTATCAGGGATCTTCAACACTTGCAGACGTTCCTGCTGCAACTCAAAGTTGGCATGTGGAGTGGCATCAGCCGGAAGATGGAGATTGCAGAGAGCTTTCTCCAGCCGCTAATGACGATGCTTCGCCGTGGTGGTCGCTTTCGTCGTTCGACTTGGAAAGAGATCAGTCCGTCTCCTGACGACCAGGGCTCTGTTTTGGAAGACAAATGGCTGAGTTGGGTTAACCAAGAGTCCTTTCTTCGCTTGGTTCATCGCGCCTTCGAATTCGATCGACAGTCGTCGATGGCATTGCTTAAGCCACCACTGCTTTCCTACGCGGAGATGCAATTACCCTTGCCGAGTCCAAACTCATTATGGCAGGCCAAATCCGCTGCGAACTGGAAAATGGCGTACCTGAATGACGCATCGGCAACTGCGAAGCGACCATCAGCGACCGAATGCCTGCTTGATCTGGAGCACCTCACTCAACACGACTATGCCAGTTCGACTTATCTGTACCTGATGTGGGGTCCAATATGGGAATATCGTCAGATGTGCGCCTTGACTTCTAGGTCACAGTCGCTGTCAACCAACAGCCTCATTCTGTCATCGCGCTACCAAGAGCTCACAAAGCAGCTTGAAGATTTCAGGCTCAGCACACCTCCCATGACTAAGAGCGTTGAGATAACACTGGAGATGTTGCTAGTTCATCTCAACGCACCTCTCGATGACATTCAGCTCTTCGCGGGTATCGAAGGGCAAGAAGAAGCACGCAGTGCGTACCCCGGCCTTCGAGACTGGGCAAAGACTCCCTCAGCGCGTCAAGCGCTATGGCACGCTGGTCAGATCTTGCGCGCCGCTGAGGTGCTACCAAAAGCTCTGCTCAGTAACTTCAACGCCATTGCGGTGTATCATGCGGGGCTCATACTATGGGTTTACGGCTTTCTCAGACGATCCGTAACAACAGAACAGATCGACACGGCTGTTGTGCTCAACGGGGACGACTCGTTGAGCGCCCGCAAGTTCATCACTCTAGATCGTGGTATTCCAGCGATCAAAAATTCCGGATCACAACATCCCACCCATTTGAGCGATGTTTGTGGAGTCATGGACGGCTTGACACAACTGCTTCGAGCGCATCATGACGCATCAGAACCTTCTCCCCCGCTGGTCGGCAACTTGGTGCAATTGCTGGAAGGCCTGCGATCTGCCATCAAATAAACGAGTCAGCATGTATGATGGTAATTTGGACTCGCGCATGTACGACTATATGTAGGATTTCATGAAGCGCCAGCGCATTGCTATACTTCATCAGCATTTGGTAATAGTCATATCTCATCTATGAGATGTTCGTTTTAATTCAACGCCCGAGAGCCAGCCCATGCGGATGGATGACTCCCGCTTCAAGCCTGTGAATAGCGACCAAGACCCTCAATTCTTGGTGCCGACCTCGAGCCCAGCGCTCTGGATGGTTCTGACGCACGTAAATGCCCAATGCTTGCTCATCACGCCAAGGCAATACTGTCACAGTACACATGCAGCAAAGCCGCGCACGTTCCCCACCCGTTCTCCACATGCCAATGCATCTCGCTGCATCCTTCCACCGCACAGCCGGAAAAGGTCAGATCCAAGGATTCCAAACTCGATCTCGCGCCGTCATGTTAGCTTCTCACTTGCACAATCCGCTGCAACTAGCTTTCTCCAGATGCAAACCCCGCAAATCTTGGCCGTATCCAGATGGTCTTGGTCGCCTCCACATTCCGAGTTACCCCAGACTGGGGATGCGACGGAGTCCAAGCGTCCAATGAGAGTGTTGTGAGGCGCTATGAAGCCTGTCTGATTTGTCGACGGCGAGATGCCAGGCGTAACACACCGACGTGCCTTGCAAAGGCGTGTTGTTCAACGGTTCGACCGTGCGGTCTATTTAGATTGGAGTACCATGGCCGCAAACACCACTGTTGTTGGATATCGTTGGCATCGCATAATCATCTCCGCTGACTTTGTGCTCGCCCTGAATCATCAGATTCTTACTAGTTCATCGCGATGACTTCTCTGAAGCAGGCGTTCAGCATCTCGAAAGAGGAGGTGAAGAATGCCCGACCGCCAGGAACCGCAACGCTCGTTGGTACGATGTCACCAACTCCCCTGAACGTCCTTCTTGCTAACGAAGCTACCATCAGAACATCTCGAATGGACAGCGTCGCAAACAAATCACGATGAAATCCGCCTCGTGCCTCAGCCATCCGCCGACCCAGCGGATCCTCTCAATCTGCCCATGTGGCGCAAGCTCGCAGTCCTGGCTGTCATGTCGATACATCCATTCGTGGTAAATTTCACGAGTGCGTCCATTTCGAGTGCATTGCCCATTTACGCGTCTACGGGCGTGTTTGGCTTCCCACCGAAGACGTTCTCGCAATTGACGTACTTCATCGCGTGCAACATTCTCATGCTGGGCGCGTCGAACTTGTGGTGGGTTCCGCTAGCGAACACCTTTGGTCGTCGCCCAGTCGTTCTGGGCAGCTTGTTGCTCCTGATTTTCTCGAGTATGTGGGCTGGTCTTGCGACTAGCTTCAACAGCCTGGTGGCTGCGAGGATCTTCATGGGTATTGGGGGTGGGCCGGCTGATGCTGTGAGCCCGGATGTTGTTGGTGAGATATTCTTTGTCCACCAGCGTGGACGTGCTTTGGTAAGTATTCCCAAATTCCTGGAGTAAACCGGCACTAACAGAACGTCCACAGGCGATATATACGGTCATGTTGTCCTTCGGCTCCCTCGTAGGCGCCGTCGCTGGTGGATACATTGTCGCCGACATGGGCCTTTCCTGGCTCCACTGGATGAACGTGCTCCTCTCAGCCATCACATTCGTCCTGTGCCTCTTCTTCCAAGCCGAAACCCTCTACGACCGCAAATCCACTACCATCACCTTCTCCGACGATCCCGACAAGCAGACCGTTGAGACCAAAGAGCGAGTCGTCGTCGCAGATGCCGCTTCCCCGTCTTCTTACCCATCCTACTCTTACGCTAAGTCTCTTCGACTCTGGTCCTACCGCCCCGGTCTCGTGCAAAACTTCCTCGCTCCATACAAGACCCTCAGATTGCCAGGTGTGTGGCTAGTATCAGGGTGGTATGCCGGACTTGTCGGTCTCATCGTCACCATGTCGAGTGTAGGACCTCAACTCGTTGCCGCGCCGCCTTATCTATGGGGAAAGAACGTCGGACTCATCAACATCGGCGGTATATTTGGCGCTCTTCTCGGATGCGTAAGTCCCTACAACCCTACCATCAGGATCAGCGTTTACTAATGCATATTTCTAGGTCTACACCTACCTCATCGCCGACTTCGCCACCAAGCGCCTCGCAAAGAAAGACCTCCACGGCTTCTCGGAACCTGAATCCCGTCTCGTCACCGCACTGCCCGCTCTCGCTCTCGCTACAATCGGCGCTCTGATCTTCGGTTTCGTAGCGCAGAACCCCTCGCCTACAGGCTGGGTCGGTCTCCAATTCGGTTTCGGACTCGTCGCTCTGGGTCTTATGCAAGCGCCATCCGTTGGTTTCAACTACCTGATTGAATCCTACGGGGTGCTTGCTGGAGACTGCTTCGTTGCTGTTACATGTGTGCGAGCTATCATTAGCTTCGCGTGGACCTTCTTTGTGGGCGAGTGGGTTACGCATCAGGGTGCTGCGGAGCCGTTTGGCATCTTCGGTATGCTGATGGGTGTGTTTGGGTTGTTGACGATTCCCATGTTGATCTGGGGGAAGCGGTTGAGGATCTGGACTGCTAAGTGGGTTCCCGAGGGTGCGGGCTTGTAGTGAGATATGCGGACCTGGGGTAATTATTGCTGAGTAGCTCCGTTAGTGCTCACTGTATTCCGTAGCGTACAATCTCGGATCAACGTCTTCATTGAGCGTATCTTCTCTGATTTTCCTCGTGGTGTCCAAGTGCACCGTAATTCTAGCTCTTTCTCCTAAGTCTGCCGCCCGTGTTCTTGACGACCAGCGAGCATCCCGCTGCCATCTTCATAATTAGCGCATCACGACAATCACGCAACACGATAACCTAGCTCTCTGTAAGAATGCGCAATACCATTCAATCTATATTACACCCCACCCTCAAACAAAAGCCCACCTCCTCAAGCCCGCCCGCACACCAAAGAAAAGCGCCGAGCCAATACATGTCAAAATAGGAATACCGTACACACCCAACCCAATGAAGATACCCTGCTCAAAGTAACCAATCGCGATTGACTCAGCGCGCTTCTTCTCTTTAATCTCCTGTGTCGCTTTGCTAAGCAGCTCTGCCGCGGCCTTCTTCGAGTCCTTGCCCGAAAGAACCTTTGACATTGTCGCTTGCGAGGCAGGTGCTGCGATATATGCGGGCGAGATACGAGTGAAGTGCTGGGCTGTGTACCGCTTCTCTACATCCACGGGCTGGAAAGACGGAGCCGCCGGGCCGAGGAGCAGACGGAAGGGAATGTTATTCGTGAACGACGCGTCGGCGTTGACGAACTGTGAGAGGTACTTGCCCGTAGACGGAGTGCCGAAGTGGTATGCAGCCAGCAGACTTTGTTGGGGATCTAGGTCGTCCTCGACGAGGCTGATGGCATGTTCCAGAGATGTGATTGCTGAGACGCAGAAGACGGGCTGTGGGGACTTGGATGGTAGGGAGGAGAGGTTGGAGAGCTCGACGACGGCGCCGTTGTCGCCTTGTGTTATGGTGTTTAGCTTCCATGACTTGTTTTCTGTGAGTGCTTGGAAGGTTTCTGCTACGCGTGAAGACTTCTTGTGCTCTCTTGCGTTGGTTGAGCCGTTTGACACGCCACTGGATCCAGCCAGGAAGGGAAGAGCGTGTCGAAGAACGTGCTCTAGGAACTCTTTCTTGATGAACTCGTTGACGAGAACGACGTCGGGGGCGTATGGTGATGTTCCTCCGAATGCGAAGCGTGCTGTTACTAACTGCTCGGCTGCTGATGCGAGATCTGCTGTGCGGTCCACAACTGCGACGATTTTGTTTCGTGGTGATACGAGTTGTGTGTATGTTGGCGAGCTGACTTTTGTCTCTTGGAATACTTGTAGACAGGCTGATAGTGAGTCTGAAGGAGGGTCGGAGGAGATGACAGCAAAGGTATCTGATTCGAGAGCTTCGGTAAGCAGCTTTCGGAGTAGCGAAGGAAGTGCGCGAAGGTTGTTTTCGAGCTGCAATATCGTTAGATGACGTTCCGGATTGAAGTCTGCAGCAAACTGACCTTCAGTGCTATGCAGCTGCCGGTTGCGAGACCAGCGCTCAAAGGTGCAATGACCGAGAAGAATGGCGTATGACTTCTTTGAGGCTCGATATACGCAACACCCCAAGGTTCTCTCTTATCACCAGCATCTTTGCCATTGGTGATTCTGTACTCGGCTTCCAGCTCTTTGGCCGCATCAATCGAGCCATAATGCTCCTTGACCACATCCAGGGCAAGCGCTACCTCGGTAATAGCCTCTTCATCAGACACATGAGTATCTTGCTTCAGAGCATCTGCAATTGCATTGCTGTTGTTGCGCAGCGCATCGTGCAGCGATTTGAGTTGTTTGAGACGGAAGAGAGCGTTGTGGCAGCGGGCAGTAAGCGCAGTCGCCTGGAGATTGGCCAGCGCAACTTCGGGGGTGATGGGCGACGACATTACGAATGGCAGGAACAGACTGAACAACAGCAAAGATTTTCCAGAAGAAATGCCCTCCAGACTGCGATATGTAATGTAAGCTCTAGGAGGTGTACGGATATTCTGACACGGCAGTCAGCCCATTTGCGCCGGCAATGCTGCCGACAGTACGCGGGCGCGATGAATCCCCCCACATTCCGACGATGGCGACCCCTGCGCCAGCTTCTCCGCGTGTCGCCAACTTTCGGACCGCGAGGGACGCGTACTTCCATCTCACGTCGCTCGGGGTAGTAATATCGTTGATTGATACCATAGACGTCGTCGCCATCTTTGTCCCACCAAGTCCACTACTGCTGTCAACATGTCTGTAACAACCACCGCCAACCCGATCCACTACAACCTCGAGGCCACCCTCGCAGACTACGATCTCCATCACAGCGGGGAACAGACTGAGGGACTCGACACAAGCCTTAATGCGCATCCAGCACCGAATACGTCGTCAACGCAATCGCAGCAGAATCCTAGTGACTGGCCGACGGAACATCGCCGTGTGCCTGCGTACCGCCCGATCAACCATGAACTCGACCAGAGCGAGCGGAGAGTCTATCTGAACGGCATTGAACAAGCATTTGTCGGAGTCATGTTCACAGGCGTGTTTTTGGAATCCGTGAGTATTTGAGCTTAACTAGGAAGGCATGCATGCTGATAATCACGCAGACAATGTCCAAAGCGTGGCGGAATACCGTGGGGCGATTCTGGAATGTTGGATACAAGATTGGTGGGGAGTGGTGAGGGACTTGGTGTACATAGACCAACATTTTTACGGCGCTCGCAATGCTCAATTCTTTTCTCCAACCATCATACTGCTGACAGTCTGTTGTGAAACGTCTCGCAGTACTCTATGATTTATTCCAGAGCATATCTCCCAACGCGCATGTCGATCTCGTTCAGGCGTCCCTCATGACATACATGCAGCGAACACCACATACGCGCATCCTCGGCTCAGTCAGCATACGCCACCAACAACCACCCACATCGCATTTAGCCTGCGAACTGCGACGGTTCACTCCGCAGATAGTAATCACCTTCGGACTCCGAGAGGCGCCTTCACAGTGCCCTGCATCAGTCTACATCCAACCCACCCATACTAACCCGCATATCCACCCACAGCGCCGGGAAGTGGAGGAGCCCATCCCCCATCTTGAACCGATCATCAAGGCAAACACGATTTGTGAACCGGCAGAAGTAGAAGGGATCTAGTTGGCAGAGCTATCTAGACAAATTTCATCTAGGGCTTGAGACATACTCTTTGCTCTCTTCTCATACTGTGCTGTTGCGAACCTCAAGCATCTTGCAACGCTTCTCTCGTACACACCCATCATGGACTTCACAAACGGTACCAACGGTACCAACGGTATCAACGGGCACACACCCCCATCCTCACAGCCCCTCAAGATAACAATATGCGGCGCTGGCATCGGCGGCCTCAGCGCAGCCATCTTCCTGCGTCAACGCGGACACACAGTAACCCTCCTCGAAGCCTCCCGTTTCGCCAACGAACTCGGTGCAGCCGTGCACCTCGCACCCAACGCCAACGGTCTCCTCCGCCGCATGGGCATGATCCCAGAAGCCCAAGGCGCGGTAGCATGTCGTCTGATGACGCAGATGCTGCCAAATGGCAAGGAACTCTTTACCGTGCCGCTCGAGCACGATGCAGCGCGGTGGCAGCATCCCTGGCAGCTTGGGCATCGCGTGAGTCTGCACAGTGAGCTGAAGAGGTTGGCAACGTGTGAGGAGGGGGAGGGGAAGCCGGCTGTTTTGAGATTGAGGGCGAAGGTCGTGGATGTTGATGCTAAGGCTGGTGTTGTTGTACTTGAAGATGGGGAGAAGATCCAGAGCGACGTTGTTGTTGGCGCAGATGGTGTGCACTCCAAGACACGCCCGCGTATCCCTGGTGCGGAGAACATCAAGACTTTTGGGAGTGGGAAGAGCGCGTTTCGTTTCCTGATTCCCAGGCAGCGGGCGTTGGATGATGAGACGACGCGCAAGTTTGCGGAGAAGGAGGGTCATCTCATTATGATCTTTGCGCGGGATCGTAGAGTGGTTGTGTACCCGACGTCCAACAACACGCTGTTGAACTTTGTTTGTATTCATCCGACATCTGAAAGTCAGATTGATCCGAAAGAACCCGGGAGCAGTGACTGGCAGAACCAGGGTAACTTGAACAAGATGTTGGATGTGTACAAGGACTTCGAGCCTGCAGTGCTCAAGTTGCTGGGTATGGCGGACGAGGATACGCTGAAGGTGTGGGAGTTGCTGGACATGGACCAACTGCCGACCTGGACAGATGAGAAGCTGGTGCTTATTGGCGACGCTGCACATCCATTCACACCTCGTAAGTCCAGTCCTCGCTTCATCATCGTAACGAGAATCAAGCTGACCACATCCCAGACCAAGGACAAGGCGCAGGCCAAGCCATCGAAGACGCCGCCTCCCTCGCCGTCATGCTCCCCTTAGGCACTCCCCTCGACTCCATCCCTGCACGCCTCAAGCTCTACGAAAAATGCAGATACGAACGCGCCTCTACCATCCAAGAGTACTCCCGCGTAGCAGGCAAAGATCTCGGCAGCGGCCCCCCAGTCGACCCCCATAAGTTCACAAACTACAACTTCGGCCATGACGAATGGGACTACTCCAGCCAAATGCTCCGCAAATGGGAGTGGGAGAACAAGAAAGGTCTATTCTGGCGGATGCCTACAGCCTTTGGTCCGATGCCAGGCCCGAGACAAGACTTCGCTGGGCGGCCGAGAAATGGGTCGAAGGCTACGTTCAAGACTGCTAGTATCAAGTTCAAGACGAGCCGGACTGTGTTGGAGAACCTGTTGCCGACGGAGAAGTTGAAGTTTGCGGCTGCCGATACAGCTTGCTATGCGAGTTTCGCGGTGACGCAGCTAGACAATCTCGAGTGGCTTGGTGGTAGAGGATACAGTCATTTCGGACTGTACATCCACGGCATCCAGCACACGAAAGCGGATGGCGAGACGGTGACGGGCACATACCTGCCCGTCCTCTTCGAGAACCTGGCTGATCCCATACTGAGTGGAAGGGAGGAGCTAGGCTTCCCCAAGCTCTTCGCCGAGCTCGATGTGAAGAGTGATGGCGGCAAGTGGGCGCTCGACGCAGGCTGGATGTCATCCAAGTTCTGCAGCATGTCGCTGTCTGGTCTGCAGGAACATTCCGCAACGAACGGTGAGGCGCCAAGACTCTCTCCTCCTCTTCCGAAAGACGAGGGCCTCTTATTGCACAAGTATGTACCGGCTACCGGTAACATGGGTAGCAAGGAGCGCGGGCAGGCGGATGTGGAATACACCGCTTTTCTGCCGGGTGAGGAGGATGCGAAGACGGTGGAGAAGAAGGTCGAGCGGACGTTGAAGGCGAGCTCGGCTGACATATCTTTTGATGCTTTGGATTGGAAGGCGCTGCCAACGCTGCATCACATTGTCGAGAGACTCAAGGAGGTGCCTGTGTACGAGGTCATCGAGGCGAAGGTAGTCGAAGGTACCGGAGTAAGCGACGTGAGCTCGATCCGGAAGCTAGCATGAGCTGAATCGTCTGTAGCTGTTATCAAATCTCATAGTTAGCATAATCCCACAAACTACAACTCCAAAAGCGTCTCCCCACCTGCAATACTGTAATGCCTTTCATTCTTCATCTATCAAAAGGCCCCCAACTCCTACAAATGAGACAAGCGCTTGTCCTGAAGCTATAGATATAAATGGGGTATTACCAGGTTCTCCATCTATCAGTTGCCGCCGCCAAAAACACCTTACTGCCATGCCATATCAATGCAACAAATACAACATAGGAAAAAGAAGTGGTGATCAATGCATCTCATCCGAAGAGTTTGGAAACATCGAGTCTGTGCTGGTTTGTTGAGTCGGCTTCTTGGGCGCTGCCTTCACTGGAGTGCAGTCGGACCACTCAGACTCTGCCGGCGGTTCCGGCACTGTGCTGGCGGAGGAAGGATGCCAAGAAGGGCGAATATATGCGTCCTCGTCCGGGACATCCGCGCCTGTACTGGGTCAGTCGTGAGCCCTGCAAAAGACTCGCTGAGGTAGAACAGCCCAGAGAGACACGCAGGGAAGATCTACGCACTCGCGACGCCCAGACCCTCGCAGAGTCTCTTCCTCCACTGTCCACAGACGTCCTCAAACCCATCCAGCACGTTCGCACAAGCCCGTTTCGCCTCCCTCTCTTTGAGCCGTCGGTCCCAGTCCCCATGCTCAATGTATTCCTGTCCCTCTTGCGTCTTTTCGTTGTCGCGTTTCCAGTCCTGCAATTGCTCTTTGCTGACTTTGAGCCTTCTGGCCGCATTTGCGGTTGTTTGCCGTGACATGTGCAGGGTATCGCTGACGTTTGAGAGGTGTTGGATGAGTTCGCGGCTCGAGTGGGTAAGGTGGGAGATGGCAACGAGCGGATCGGCGGAAGGGTGGGGTAGCAGCTCCAGTGTGGTCTGTATGATGGGGAGAAGTTCGTCGATGTCTTCCGGGTCGGGGAGGATGGCGAATGGGCCTGAGAAGGATACGGCGATGGACGTGAGGGTACGCGATTGGTGTGTCAGATGCGTTGTCAGAGCCTCGTGAGCAGTCTTTAGTCTGGGATTTGTTAGCGATGACTGGACATGCCTGCGAGTTGGTACATACCTCGTCGCTCCATTCTCCATAGCAATCTGGCTGCCAAGATCTCGGAGTTGTTGTGTCACCCTCTTCACCACCTCGTCCGATGCGCTCCCATTCTCCTCCATGCCTCTCCGTGCCAGACTCTCGATAGCCGCCATCCGCGCGTCGAGCGCGGGCGAGATGCCCTCATTTTCCAGGTCAGAGTCATCGCCGTAGTCGGAGCCATCGTACAGCGACCGTTGCCTTGTGTGCTTTTTCGTCTTAACGGCCGACCCTGGACTGAGGCGCGCCGGAGACGAGTCCTGCATGGCAACCCCACTATCCCGTACACCGTTGAGACTAGCTGCGCTGTCGACTCCATAAGAGCCGTCGTGCTCTACAGCCGTGCCGATGTTCTCGTCTTGTGCTTCGTCCAGTTCCTCGCCGTATTCGCCCTCCATGCCTTCGTCATCATCGTCGTACATCTCGCCGAGCTCGTCGGCCAGGTTGCCCAAGCCATTGCCGTCTCCTCCGCCGTCGAATTGGTGCGCGGGGCTGTGTTCGAAATCTTGCGATGAGCGCGGCGTTATGGGCGAGTAGCCAGAGTTGCGGCGGGTGAAGGACTGCCGTCTCGATGCGGTGTTGTGTGACATGTCTAGGCTGGAGGGGTGTCGGCGGTGCGAAGATGCAGGCCGCTGGGTGGGAGTGCTGGGAGGGGACGACATGGTGTTGTCGTGGTATTGCGATAGTCGCCGGTGTTCCGAACACGTCGAAGGCTCGTGAAGTCGCGGAAATGAACAAAGGCGGACCGCATTAGGAGTCCCCAGTCGGAGATCTACGCGGGAGTGAACCGTGATCCAGGGCGCGCAATGCGCGTCAGCCTCGCAGCACCTGCACGACGCGGCTCTGCCCTAACAAGCCACCAAAAGTCTATGTAATTGCGCTGGGATAGGAGGTCCTGTGGCGGGGTATCGGCGTGTTGACGGCCTCAGACCTTCAGCGATGGTGCGGCCTTGGCTGTGGCTGCGGAGATGCGCCTCAGGTACCAAGTGCTATGCGTGATGATAAGTGGCTTGTGCCGCTTAGCGATAGAGCGCGTGCAGTCAAGGCGTGCGAAATAACAACGATGGAGCCTCGGTTGCTGTCCAGCCGTCGAGCCTGGTGTTTGTTGACGCTTGCCGTGTGTTTGGAATTAGTGGCTTGCGCAAAGGCTTGTGGACCCTTCTTTGCACGAGTGAAAGGGGTATGGGTATCCTAGTAGCAGGTGACCTTGATACGATGACGCTCGTATCTCACTCATACACTAGTATTGCAGCAGATGTGTATCGGTTCAGTAACGACCGTGGATTCTTCATAGCTGATAGCGCGTTTTGACTCAGACACATGTCAGACAATACGACCTTTTACATCCGAACGCTCTCCAATGCTGTGTAACCCCAACCCCAAACACTTTCAAGATGGGTATCGCATACGATCATCCTTAGCTGGGCCGAAACACGCTCACAAACTCCAAGACGCCTGAACATGACCTTACTCATGCCGCTATAGGTACTGCCATATAGCACCCATGCAATTCAATGCCCACAGAACTCCTGTAATGCCCTCATAATGCCGCTGAAATGGATATCGGGTGTGTATGCGATTATTGCGCGGGTTTGATCTGCTCGAGACTGGCGATCTGCTTCTTCAGCTGTGTGAAGAAGTCCTGGCCGGTCGGCATGAGGTGTGTCATGGTGCCTGGTCTCGGTCAGTATGCCAGCCTCGGTGGTGGTTCGCTGACGCCTTACCTCCTTTGCCCCATGCGCCAGTGCTTCGGGTCGGAACAGAGTCGCCGGGGACCTTGTGGTATACGGAGGGCTGGTCTGGATGCATGTTAGTCCTCTGGACATGCGCGCGAGTGTTGGAGAGGTTCATACTAGCTGTGCTCTCGAGGTATTCTGCAATCGGTTAGCTTATGCCATATCATGTGCCAGCAATGCCGTAGACGTACTCTTCTTGAGGAAGTCCCTGACCTCGTTCGCATTGAACTCCTTCACAGGTACGTGCTGGTCGGACTGCGCTTGAGCTGGTGCAGCCGCGGGGCCTGATCCTTTCCCCTGTTTGGCTCCCCATACGTTCCCTGTGGGCGCTGGCATGGCCTGCTGCCGGCCTGCATTGTCTTTGGTGGGGGTGTTTGCGCCCGAGTTGGAGTTGCGGTTGGCTTGACCCTGCCGCCGCCAGCTGTACCAGTCGTCAGTATACATGAGCTCCCACAGCTTCGCGTGCGCATTCTCTCAGACGTACCGATTTTCTCCCGGGCCACTCATGTTCGGTATGGAGCAACGGTGGGATGTGAGGAGGGGTCGGGTCAAGATATAAAATGGTGGAAGCTCTCCAATCGCTCATGCAGCGCGCGAACTGCGTCTGTGCTGCAACGTCTAAACCAATGGGCGCCCAATGACATATTATAGCTGCGACCTCTTTCGGCCAGCTCACCAGTGCTAGCCGCTTTCAGGCCTATTTCAACACTATTCACAGCCATTATCCAACGAGTGGATGGCATTTTTTGGAGCTTTCTAATCCGCGCCGATGTGTTGTACATCACGTGTGCTGCCCTCCAATGGCAGGAGCCACCGGACGTGTCCAGCCTACGCTAGCTACAGGGTTCTCAAGGCCTCCATCCATGCATGAACCACGGCAACGGCTCCTAATGGACCAACATGTTCTTTGTTTCCCATCTTTGCTCACCGTCATTGTTCATGGCCCGTCTCGGGATCGATTCGGTCGGCTTGGGAAAGGAAGAGGCTGGCATGTTGTGTCATCACCTGGGCAGCCCGAACATACATCGCCGAACCTAGCCCGGTTCAGGTTTGCAGAGTCAACGTAGGAAGTGACGACCGTGATTTCCATTTTACGAGTTCAGGTGGAGATAGGAATGTTTGTTCCTATCCAGAACTCATCTCAATCGCGAGATGGCTGACACAGCATCCTAGAGTAACATCATGTCCAGGCCGGTATCGTAGCCAATTCTTCGAGCACCTTCACCTCGCGCCCTAGTCATGAGTGAGGTGAACAGGTAAGAGACTGGTTCACGATGAGAGACGAATTTCGCCCTTCAGGTGAGAGAGATCTAAATGACAGCGGAGCCTCTGCCTCTTCTACTTATGTCTGAGTCTTCCTCTCGTCTTCTCACTTATTGACAACATAGTCGCTACTTTTGCAATTCGAGACAGACTCATCAAAGTTTCTGACCTGTCTATCCCCAAACTTCCAACAATCAAGCTTCCGCCATTGCATTCACAGATACGAGAAAACTACGAAGATGAGAGCCTTCCCTGTCAAGTTTGTTGGACTAGCGCTCTACATATATGACCTACAGTCAGGCACATTGACTTTTCTTCACGAACGCCCCAACAGGAAGCCAAAGGTATATGTACTGAATGAGGAAGATTTCGAAGATGGCGTGGACGAAATCGATGACGAGACCGTCGCAATACTGGAATCAGGTCCCCCCGAGACAAGCGCCGTAGGACTGAGTCTACGACTATTCAAGAACGATGGAGCTCTCAGGATAACCTTCGAAGGCGAGCATGGCGGAGTCGTAGACTGGACATTCCAAGGCTTAGAAAGCTCCAGAATGGGTAGCATGACTGCATGTGCCTTCACGCAGACAATGCCTGAGGCATCGACAGGCTGCAGAGTCGTGGAAGGTGTGCCACCCGAAATGTCGATCGGCAGAATCCAGACAGTGAGCACCGACCCCATGCCGAAACGCATCGTTCAGCCTCCAGCGTCTGGTCTTAGCATCATATCGACAACGGAAACCCGCCCCGTCAAGCCTCCAATCAAGCCTACGATCACGCTCAAGCTTCCAAAGGAGAACCCCGATCTCTTCTCGCCAACTGTCAACAAGGAGATTGGCCTCAAACGCAAAGCGACAGAGGAAGTCGAGCAGCCGAAGCCACACAAACTCGCAAAGAGCTCACACAACTCTTCACCATGGCCATCTCATCTGTACATGACATGTTTCCGTACAAATCCTTTCTCCAAATGCGATGTCGGAACATTGCATATCGACTTGGTTGAAGGTACGGTGTGGTTCGAGGGCTGGCATGGCAGAGCAAATGCACGAACTTTCGAAAGAAAACAGGTAAATCTCAGTGACACTTTGAGTAAGTTTTGACTGATGAGGACTTCTGGGTCTTAGATCCACTTGAAATACATACAAAGCAATGTCTAACATCTCAACCCAGCCTGCGTCGGTTATTATAACTATACCAATCTTGCCGGAACAGACGGCTCTACTCACTCCCTTGACATTTTCAAGCCAAACACGAGAAACCAAAAAAGTTACTTGTTTACCGCAGACTGCACCGCACCCGGATGGCAGACATGGGGTTCAGACATGGAAACAAGGCCACCTCCCCGCGATGTTCTCACAGCCAAGGAGATAAGAGAGCTCAAAGAGGCCGGCAACATACGCAAAATACCATCGTCTCTCCCCATCGGGATAACAACAAACATCTCACCTACCGTCATCGTCGATGCGATCATCCACTGCATTGACCGCACGTCAAAACGTCAACCTGTGCATGACCCAGACACTGATCATAAGCTGTCAGAAGACATAGAGCGCTACATCAAACTTCGAAGAGACAGGTGTCTAACTTCAAAAGGGCGGGTTGACCTGGAGTTCACGGAAAATGAAATCGAGACGAGAGAGACCCGCAGGTGTTTTTACAGGACTGTGGCGGGTGAGGAAGAAGTGGACAATAAGGCCAAAAGCGGTGGTTTCACGTAGAACGGAGTGGAGGAAATGGATTTCGATCTTCAAAAGATCTGAGCGTGGCTGCTGGGCCACAGCGAGAATTAAGCTCGTTCAAAAGCGATTGCTTTGTTTGCTGCCGCGGACCTTGGGAGAGGTCGATTGATAGAGTCCGCAGTCCGACTACTATGAGTCTTTGGGAGTTGAGCACCTGGTCTACATTTGAATCGAGGTCACCAGTAGCTGAGTAATAAACTCTTCTTTCATGAACATGCATTGAGCTCGAGAATACTACCGTTCTAGCAGAAGAGGTAATATAACCTCAAAGTGGACACAAATCGTAGACATATATATACTGAATAACATGCGCTGCTCGTGCATAAATCAAATAATCATTGGTATACATAAAACCGCACTTGACTGCGCATAAAGCCAAAATCCCAACTCAAAACCAGAACCCAATTGTACTTGCCTCCCATGGATATATCTACGCCGGCGCAGCAGCCCCCTCGCCATTCTCACCGCTATTGCCATTTCCACCCGTAAGACTAGACATAAACTCCTGCCATCTAAACACCTCGGTCCTATTACCCAAACTCTTCCCTCCCTTAGCGAAAGCCCTCCGTCCACTAAACCCCTCAATAGCCATATCAATCTCCCTCTCCGTCAACTTCCTCTCCCCGGCCTCAGGCGCAGTATGCAACAAAGCATCCTTCAACTCTGCCAAATCAATCTGCCCATCGTCATTATCATCGAAGGCTTCGAACGCAGCGGTCAGTTCGTTCTGGTGGGAGAGGTTGCCCAGGAGGTCGGATAGCGTTGTCAGGTAGGTGGCTAGGTTGATGGATTGCGCGCCGTTGAAGTAGGTGGAGAGTTGGGAGGGGGTGGCTGAGAGACCGAGTTGGGAGAGCATGTCTGCGACGTCGGCGGAGTTGACGTGGCCGTCGTCGTCGCGGTCCATGACGCTGAAGGATTCGCGCATGCTGTGGAGGAGGGGTGGGGGCAGTTTGGAGAGGGCGTCTGAAGAGGCCATTCGTTGCATGGGTGCTGGTCGTGCTGTGCGCTCTGCTGGCTTGTAGGTCTCGACGGGTTTGTAGGTTTCGACTGGCTTGAAGGTTTCGACTGGTTTGTAGGTTTCAACTGGCTTGTAGGTTTCGACTGGCTTGAAGATTTCGACTGGCTTGAAGGTTTCGACTGGTTTGTAGGTTTCGACTGGCTTAAACGTCTCGACTGGCTTGTATGTCTCGGCCGGCTTAGGCTCCTCAATTGAAGTATGAATCTCGGTTGGCTTGAGGCTCTCAATTGGCTCGGTATTCTCGACAGGTGGTGACTTCTTCCTGCTAAACAGAGGCGGTGGTGCGTCGTCCCTCCCGGCAGCCTCAAACTTGGCTGCGATGGATGAAGTACTCAGAGGTCGCACCGTCATCTGCGAAGACGAGGAAACATTCCGCGTTGGCGAAACATTGCGTCCAGGTGAAAGATTTCGAGAAGGCGAATTGGGCGCTTCTGGGGTGCCCGTCGTCCCCCGTGTGTTCAGCCAGGATGGCGGGTTTTGCGATGGGTTGCCCCCGATGGACAGACGGTTGGGGGTTTGCGCAGGGGATGTCGGAGTCTCTTTGGGCTTTAGAGGCGAACTGTTCGGCGTCGATGGTCGCAAGGTAGACGGTGAGCTCTCCCTGATGGAGCCTGGTCTGCGGAAGGGCGACTGGCGCGGGCTGTTGAAGGAGAGGGGCGAGGGCTTGTAGGGCGTTGGTGTTGTAGACTGCATGTCTTTGTTAGTCGCATTCGTATAGTCCACAAGGGTCCAGCATACCATGGTGCGTATATTCGTTTTGGTGATGTCGCTGGTCGTCGCGTTGTTTGGTGTTGTCAATGGGATGGCCTAGCAACGAGCCTATCGATAAGCTGACATGGATAATTGGCGTAGGCATGCAGGGTTCGTTCACTCTCTGCGGGCAGCATAGCGGGTCACACGCATAGTCACAGCTCCGGATACTATGCGGTAGCCATTCACGCCTCCAGATCCACGGCCTGCTGGATCAATCCCCCATCACCGCCTGCTACAGCGCGTCATGTTGTTTCGGGACGGTTACATTAGGCTCCCCTAGCGCCGTCGATCTATAATGTAGCATCCGAGTCGCCAGGTGCCCGTACAGAAGAAGATGGAGACACTCATGGCTGAAGTAATCGCACAGCGGCCAAGCGGGCCCAATGCCGCTCAGCCTGTGTCCCTGCAGCGCCAGCCCTCCTTCTCCTCGTTCCCTCCCTCGCGATCGCCCTCTACCCGCAATGGCCACCATCCGAAAGCTCGCTCCCCGCAACCCCCCATGCTCCGCGAGGGCGACGAAGACGACTCGATCCAGTCCTCGCACGACGAGTCGTATCAGTCCTCCATGGCCGCCATTCCCAGAGGAACCGCCAAGTTGCGCTCGCAGTATCCCGCCGATGCAGTTGAGAACCATGTCGAGTACATCCTGGTCGCCTCGTTCGACATTGACCGCGGCTCCATCATGGAGCACCAGTACCCGGCGGCTATCAGTGGAGACGAGACTATGCTAGCAGAGCTCATGTTGCCCGATCAGGCCCACGTGCGCAGTCAAGACTGGACCATCTTCTTCCTGCACAAGGACACCACAGCCGAAGAGGAGGAGCGCGAAGCACGGAGAGAGCGCAGGAGGAGGAGACGGCGGCGGAAAGAGGGCCTGGAAGACGACGGCGACGACGATGCGACTGCCGGCACTGAAGAGCAAGACGACGAATACGATGACGGAGACGACGACACCGAAAGCGAAGGGGAGCCAGACCCTGACGGGCCCCCGTTGGTCTATGTCTTGAACCTGGTCAACACCAAGCAGGACAATACAGTGAAGAGGTAGGAATGACATACCCATGAACTTGGCAAGACTAACACTATGTAGAGGTGCCATCGTCAAAGCCATGGCTATATGCACGCGCCATCCCTTTCTGCACATATACAAGCCCCTGTTACTGCTGGCTCTCGAGGAATACTTCAGGGCACCTGTCCTGGAAACCCTCGAATCTCTATACAACGCCCTCAATGCCATGGACCTCTCACTCCTCCCGAGGCTCTCACCCCTGGAGAACTTCGTGCTTGGCGCCAGTGATGCCAAAGACATGTTTGTGGAGAAGTTTGAGCTCATGGTCCGGCAGCGGAAGAAGCTCGACGCTGCGAGAGACTCCGTCGAAACCTCTTCAGACCCTCAGTCGCGCAAGAAGACGTACACTGTCCCACGAGACACGCACGAGTTCGAGTCCAAGATCAACTACAACGGCATACCCGTTCCTGTCAAGATACCCACCGCTTTGAGTCCAGAGACTGTGGGCGACTTCTCCTTGATCAAGCTCATACAAACCTTCTCCGCGCCTCATGCGGCGCAACCGCAGCCCTTCGCTTTACACCCACATCTGACTACGAGCGGCGCATTCACTCACCCCATCATCGTCCTCGTCAACGCCCTCCTCACACAGAAGCGCATCATCTTCATCGGACATAATCGCCCCTCAGGCGAAGTCGCCGAAGCTGTACTGGCAGCATGTGCTCTGGCCTCTGGTGGCATTCTCCGTGGCTTCGTTCGCCATGCGTTCCCATACACCGATCTTACTAAAGTAGATGATCTGCTGAAGGTACCTGGCTTCATTGCTGGGGTCACCAACCCTGCATTCTCGTACAAGCCAGAGTGGTGGGATCTGCTTTGCGATCTACCGACTGGTCGCATGAAGATCAGCAATCGCATTGAAACGGCGTCACCCACAGAGGGGTCAATGTTCTTCCAGCAACAGGGCCTACCACTAAATGGGCCAGGTGCACCACCCGCCTTTGACGGCAAGGGTGGCGGCGTTGACCCAACCGGCGACACCCAATTTATGGACAGACTTCTCGAGAGCATCGCCAACCGTCACGGCGAGAATGCTATCCGAGCGAAGTGGCGTTCGTGGGTACTCAAGTTCACTCGCATCGCGGCCGCTTTCGAAGAGACGGTCTATGGCGCTTCGGCATTGTACATTGGCTCCCATGAGACCGACGTTGGCGCATATGGTGTCTCTGGCCATGGCTACGTCTGGCCAGACGAGAACCACAAGCTACGCGAGCTCGCTGCAAATGTACACCGTATCGAGGGCTGGCGCAACACAAGAAGTTACTACAGTTGCGTCCAAGATCTCGCGAGACATTGGAAAAAGAGACCAGTGCGCGGTCTTGATATTGGCCACCAGCACGACAAGCTGCGATGCTTGAAACTTACACACGATCAATCCGCGGGTATATATCTTGCACTTGCGCGGTGTGTGGAAGAAGCGGGCTCACCACCTAATGAGAGCGCGAATGCCTCTTCGAGTGATTTGTCGTCCATGGCCCAGTCACTTTCCATCGCAAATGACTCTGAGCGCAAGGCGAATTCGCAGCTTCAGTACGACACCATTCTGCAGCTGCTCTGTGTGATCCCAGATGCTGGTCTCTTCTATCTTAGTCTAGGCTTGTTTCATCCTCGACAGGATGTCAGGATGGCGGTCGTGAGATTACTAGAGAGGATCATGGACCACTCTGCTGGTCGGCACTACTGGGGTCAATTAGGACGTTTCGCCAAGCTGGCCTTCTTCAGAGTGAAGAGGGAAGAAGCGCAGAAGTAGTTACGGTACGATAAGGCGTTACTGGTGTTGGATGGAATTGCCGGTACAATACGTGTCATGGAGTTTGTAAATGCTGTAACGTAGATATCTGAATGAATGAAATGAAGTACACATGGAGTGCCTGTCTACCCTCATGCAAACTAGTCGCCATGCAGCAAAGTCACGTCTGTCCCCCAGACACGCTACGAACCGTTGGATGCGCGCGCATCCCTGCATCGCATCTCATCTCCGTCCGCCTAAATCATACTCGCCCAAAATTTCCCGCTTCACCCCTCGAATTGCGCCCGCCCTAGTCGCTGTGTCGCAACGCCCATTTCGCCCTCCCTACGACCTCAGACACGTTGCGCATGCTGTCTGCACGCCAATTGAACAGCGACAATGGCATCACCACCACCAAGCGAAGCCCCAGCGGTTAAGAAACGCGGACGCCCGAAGAAAGTCGTAGCCGAGGATGCGGGGGCAATACCAGCGGTCGAAGCGAGCAAGGCGGCCGTAAAGAAGGTGGCTGCGAAGCCTGCTGGAAAGGCGAAACCCGTGGAAGTCAAGAAAGAGAAGAAGACGGTTGTGAAAAGCGCAAAGACGCTTGCTCCTGCTGCTACTCCTGCCGCGGCGCCTCAGTCGCCAATTGCGCCCGAACAACCCACGCCCGTCACGCCCTTCACAAGCAAGATATTAGAGGAAGTACAAGCGAAAGGGACGTTGAAGAAGGCTCAGGCTGCGAAGGTCGTGGAGAAACAAGCGTCGAGTACGGACAAGAAGACAGCGGCGCCACAACCCCAGACCCAAGAACCGACATCGAAACCAGCAGTATCAGCATCCACGAAGCCTCCTCCTCCAAAACCGACTACAGCTCCCACCACTCCACGCCCAACAACAATCCCCCTCCCCTCACACCCCACAAAAGCGCCATCGCCCGTCTCCCCACCACCTCCTCCAAACCCATACCCACGCTTCTCCAAACCCACAACCTCCACCCGCCACATACCGCCAAACCCCTACCCAACCACCATTCGTCCCTCCAACCAACAAGCACCTCCATCTCCACCGCACCGCCAACACCCCACACGCCTCATCGAGCCCACACCAGACATCAGGCTACCACCCAAATATAAACCCGCGTCGCGCCGGGTAACAGCGATAATAGTGAGTTTGCCGATTGTGTTGGTGTTTGGATATGAGTTATTTGAGCGGTGGAGGGGGAAGGAGGTTAAGCAGGTTTTTAGGGAGACAGAGGGGTCAACGAATGAATGAATGATTTGAGATGGGTGGGTAATGAATGGGTGAGGGATGGAGGTAATGATGATGACGACGAGTAATGTTGGATTTGTATTGTGTATTTATATCATCATCTATATGGTCTGGTCTCTGCTACTTCTTATGTATATTCATAGAGATACGGTACACGGAAGGGGTATCACTACTCTTGTGTGCTGTTGCTGTTGCTATTCCAGTCTACTCTCTCGAATCGTGTGGCGACCTATCTTGGTTCGCCTTCCATGCTGGTTGAACAAAAGAAAAGGTGTGTGAAGATGGCAAAAGGATGAACAGAATGTGAAAGACTATGTATAAGAAGGGTAATCGCGAAAAAGATATCAAGCTCAGCGATCCACGCTACATGTAACTCTTCTTCCTTAGCAGCATGCCCCTAGTCCCTGACGGGTCAATTGGCAGGCCCGATGCACTGCCGCGACGGCTACCAGGTCTGCTGGCAGACGGAGAACGTGTTGTGTTGATGGGCTCTACATCCAGTATCGGTGGGCCTACACTGACATCGGGCGTAGCGGGCCCTGGAGGATGAAATAGGCGCTTGTATCGCAGTTCTGGTGAGCTTGGTACGTTTGGATTGGAGGAGGATCTTGCGGCCGAGGTCATGGTGAGATTGAACAGCGTGTTGGTACGACGACTGAGCGGACTTTGAGTTGGCTGTGGCATGGGCTGTAGCGTGGGCTGTGGGGTAGCTTGCATCGTGGCTTGAGGAGTTGAAGGCCAGAGGGTGGGACCGGTGAAGGTGGGTGATGTAGAAGGCGAGGGTGAAGAGAGCCTGTCTGTAGTGTCTGACTCGGGGTCGGCAAAGTAGTCGTGGTCAGACGTGTCGTTCGTGGACGACATGGGATCGAGTTGGATGGTCTCGGTCCACTGGCGCCTTGCATTGTTTGCGCTGTGAGCTTG